ATCCATCAGAATTCACCAGGTAGTATTTTCTCAGTGAAAACATGTGCTAACCCCAAAATCAACCCCAATCTTTTGAGGTTTACATGGCCCCACAACAGCACCATGAAATTTCATGAAATTTCACCATTTACCAAGATTTAGGAGCAAACTCCTAATTCGAGTCTGTCTGAAGAGTGGCAGTGTAGGAGTTTTATTGGAGCTACCTAGAAGTTGATCACCTGTAAATCTTGTAGATGATGTAGATGATGTATGATGTGATATAGATGATATAGATGATGTAGACATTGTAGACGTTGTAGATGATGTGGATGTTGTAGATGATATAGATCATGTAGGTGATGTAAGTGGTGTAGGCAATGTAGATGTTGTAGATGGTGTAGATGCTGCGGATGATGTAGATGGTGTAGGTGATGTAAGCGATGTAGGTGATGTAGATGATGTAGGTGATATGGGTGATACAGAAAATGGTATGGATGATGTGGAATATTATGTAGGTAAAGTTAAGAATATGATGCTAGAGTTGAAACTGGCAACAATGCTGCAATTCTTTGGGAATCACCTTTCGCAGGAGCTTTCGGGAATGAATAATTGACGCATTTGAAAGTTGAAACATAATTTGTTTAGATATGTTTAGATTTCATTTAAAGGAATCTATATGTACATGTGAACTGTATATATTTCTTGAGAGGGCCAACCAGCAATAATCGTTGACCACAGGGTACTACCTGCATCTACCCTCTGATAATCAAAAAGATCCTCCCCCATTGACATCCATTGACACCAAGTGACTGCATTCCTTTCCAACAAAAATGGATTTCCCCTCTTAGTCGACCCCATGCTCATGATATTTCAATGCGTTTCATATTATTTCACGATAAAATTGAACTTCTTGCGAAGAACTTCCGGATGTTCACCCAACCAGTGCATCTCCGCCTGCAACCATGGCTCCAGAGGCTCCAAATGCGCAAGATCAGTCGCTTTCGACGCTGTGACCACCTCTATGTCTAACGGGGCCTCGGTGGGGAAGTCAGGAATCGCAACATAAAACCAACTATGGGCCATGGGTTTATCAATATGATCAATGATATGGTTGGAATATTTTATGGGGAAAACGGGTGTAAACAATACAATTTGGGACTATCCCATGTTTTTGCACCAAGATTGCCATGTAAAGGGTGAAAAATGATGGTAAACCATTGATTTTTTGGTTGCAGTATAGGCTTGTAACAGCACCATGAAATTTCACTATAAGATCTTACCAAGATCTGGGAGCAAACTCCTATTTCGAGTCTGTCTGAAAATGATGTATCTACATTTTTTATATATATATATAACTATATATATATTATATATATATACACACACGAAACTTCAAATTTCCTTGAAAGTCCCAAGACCTTCAAATAAGCAGACCTTAAAATAAGCAGCCATTTGCAGAGTGGGAATAGAAGGATTATGGAAATGCCGAGTGCTTCTACAGCCGAGGAACTTATGAAATGCCCAGTGTCTTACGGCCAAGTGTTTTTTGGAAGGAAATACTAGGGTGTGTTTTGATCAAATCACTATGCAGAATGGTCAAAGTTGAAAATGTTGAAAAACAAGGCGCACGATTTCCCATGTTTTCGCGATTTTCTACATACCTTATGGGTGTTAGTGTACCTTTATGTACCTGTGTACCTTTTAGGGTTTTACTTGTCTTATGGGTCCTACTCACGGAAAACTCAGCATTCAAACTTCACAACATGGTGATCTTTGGATTGGCGGGGCCTTCAATCATCTAACATAATCCGCCGACCCCGGCAGACGCAAGGGGGAGCGCGCCAGGGAATAAGACAAGCAAAGACAAGCAAGTTTAGCCGCACTAGCAGCAAGAGCAGCGGCAGCAGCAGCGGCAGCAGCAGCAGCAGCAGCTGTGGAAAAAGGTTGTTTTTCTAGGATTTCAGAAGCAGCAGCAGCAGCAGCAGCAGGCAGGCTCAGCAGCTGCAATCGCTTTGTTTTTACCAGAATCCAGAAGGGACGTCAAGCCCCGGGGCAGCATGTTTTTTGAGGTCGTTCCGTCCTTCAGTACAGTAGCATGGTGTTTCGGTGTGGCGAAGGGTGCGTTTTGGGGGCTTGCAGCACCACCTCTAGCAACACGACCGGCAGCAGCAGCAGGAGCAGCAGCAGCAGTCCCAGCAGCTGCAATCGCCGTTCCGTCCTTCAGTAGCATGGTGTTTCGGTGTGGCGAGGGCTGCAATCGCTTTGTTTTTACCAGAATCCAGAAGGGACGTCAAGCCCCGGGGCAGCATGTTTTTGGAGGTCGTTCCGTCCTTCAGGGCCATGGTGTTTTGCTGTTTCGCGACCGCCCGCTAGGACTTTGTTGTGGAGCTGCTTTGAGGGCATGGGAGCTGCACTTTGGAGCTGGTTTCTTGTTGGTTCAGAAGGCACCGTTAGGCACCAGCAGCAGCAGCAGCAGCACCACCAGCAGCAGGCCCAGCAGCTGCAAGCAGCAGGCCCAGCAGCTGCAATCACACTTTGTTTTTACCAGAATCCAGAAGGGACGTCAAGCCCCGGGACAGCATTTTTTGGAGGTTGTTCCGTCCTTCAGGGCCATGGTGTTTTGCTGTTTCGCAACCGCCCGCTAGGACTTTGTTGTGGAGCTGCTTTGAGGGCATGGGAGCTGCACTTTGGAGCTGGTTTCTTGTTGGTTCAGAAGGCACCGTTAGGCACCACCAGCAGCAGCAGCAGCACCACCAGCAGCAGCAGCAGGCCCAGCAGCTGCAAGCAGCTTGTTTTGCTGCCGGGAGCTGCGGCAGCAGCCAGAGCAGCGGCCGTGGCCAGTGGCAGCGGCTCTTAAAAAGCGGGAAAATGATACAGTAAAATTTCCGCACCAACAGCAAGCTTTTTGTAGGATTTCAGAAGGGACGTTCCGGCCCCGGGAAACATATATTTTGGACTCGGTTCGTCCTTTAGGGCCATGGTGTTTTGCTGCCGGGAGCTGCGGCAGCAGCCAGAGCAGCGGCCGTGGCAGTAGCAGCGGCAAGCTTTTTGTAGGATTTCAGAAGGGACGTTCCGGCCCCGGGAAACGTATATTTTGGACTCGGTTCGTCCTTTAGGGCCATAGTGTTTTGCTGCCGGGAGCTGCGGCAGCAGCCAGAGCAGCGGCCGTGGCAGTAGCAGCGGCAAGCTTTTTGTAGGATTTCAGAAGGGACGTTCCGGCCCCGGGAAACGTATATTTTGGACTCGGTTCGTCCTTTAGGGCCATGGTGTTTTGCTGCCGGGAGCTGCAGCAGCAGCCAGAGCAGCGGCCGTGGCAGTAGCAGCGGCAGCATATGAGTCCAGCAGCAGCAGTAGCAGTAAGGTAAAAAACTGATTAATAAAATTGTAAAAAAATGATACTTTCCGCACCAGCAGCAAGCTTTTTGTGAAGGGACGTTCCGACCGCAGGACCATGGTGTTTTGCTGCCGGGAGCTGCAGCAGCGGCCGTGGCAGTAGCAGCGGCAGCAGTGACTCCAAGAGCAGCAGTAGCAGTAAGAAACGCACATTTTGGACTCGGTTCGTCCTTTAGGGCCATTGTATTTTGCTGCCGGGAGCTGCGGCAGCAGCCAGAGCAGTCTTAAAAAGGAAAAAATGATAATTTCAGCACCAACAGCTTATGGGTGTTTATGGATGTTTATGGTAGATACATCTAGTTACTATGGTTCTTAAAGCAAGCTATAACTGGGGGGGCACCACCTTGTAATCTCTACTGGGGTGGATTTAGTAAGGTTCTTTGTGCTGATTGATGGTGCTTCTGTGATGAAGTGATTGGCGTTGCTTTTATTTAGTGGGTGGTAATGTGGATTTAAAACTGAAGAATGGTGTTCCGGATGTTTACAAATCGATCAGTTATAATTAAAAAACAAATATGACTGATGCTAAGCGTCACTGTGCAAAGATCCGATGTGTATAGTAGGTGATTCTTGTGTTTTTGTTGTGGCACAGAGCCCCTCCCCGCTCTGCGCGGTGGCGCCCTCCACAAACTTTACAGCGGCGCCTCCCATAAATTTTAACAAAGGAGGCAACACCTCCTTGAAAACAGCTTGTGCGCAGGAGACCTTGCAAGGCCTTCCTTATAATGTCTGTCGAGCTATGATCAATCAATAACTTTGGCGTTACAGGAGGTTTCGATCTTAAGGGCGATGTCCTCCTTGAAAGTTTGTGGGTCGTTCTCGGGGCCACTGTGTTTATGCGAAAGCGAGCAGCACCAAAGGACATTTGTTCAGCTCACATGCCTCAGTCTCGAACCTAAATAGCAGAAGAACTTTGGTGAAGTCGAAACTTCATATGCACCAACAAGTCGTCCAGGCAAGCGAAACAGCCTTCGAAATGCGGCGCCTGGGGCAGCAGGTCATGAGGCATGGCGTTGATGGCGCCCAAAAGAAAAGAAGCAGCGCTATCCAACTCACCAACCTTTCCTGCAAGCAACTCGCGCGATGTCAAAGCTGGACATTTCTCGATCTTCTCTTGCATAGGCTGGATTTGTCCAGACCTGGTGTAAAGGTGAGCGGTCCATGTACAGTCTGTGGGCTCTGTGTCAGGGCGGTCCAGCGTCATCTGAAGGATGGTCAAAAACATGATGGCACAGGCAAGCGCACATGACCTAGTGCGGTCTTCCTTGAAGAAAGGCTGGCAAAAAATCAAAGCCTCACGAGCATTTTCCAGCTCGAACGCGCTCTTCTCCTTGAGTGCTGGATCCCACCGCAAGAAGGCTTGGACCCCCAACTGCAAGTCAGCTCTGTTGAGGACACCTTGGGGCAATCTCTTCTCACCTGCTGCTGCCATGTTGCAAGTTAGACTAGTTTTGTGAGCCAAAAAACCTGGGTCGAATGGGTCGATGTGATGGACAAAGCAAAACCGAGGTTGAATTGCATTGCGGCAATGTTCAGCACTGAATGTGCAAGCAATGTGGTAACCACGGCTAGCGCAGCTGACTCAAATGATTTTCAACAGGTCAAACTGGAAACATGCCGCCTATTCCTCAAAGAATGCCACGTGCTTGGAAAATGCATCGCACTAAGCGTCGCACTACACAAACAGACATGGCGTTGCCAATCATATGTCCTAATACCCTTTGTGGAAAACGTTGAAGTTCTTCAACATCTCCAGGCTTGTAAGCCCCAGGCCACACGCCTTGAAGCAAAAAAAAATCTGTCGGGGTGAGGAACCTCTGGCCTTGATGCCACCAGTAGCAATGCTTTCCTTTGCATCTGGTGGCAGTGAGGCAGGGGCATTTGTCCTCCATCCAAGTTGCTGAAGAACCGCCTGTGTCGACAATGAAGTCAGAGTCTTGTTTGGCCGGATTCTTGTCCAAAAAGTCTTGAAACTGGATCAAGTTCTTGCGGGCTGTGCTGGATAGAGCTGAGCCGTCGACATCGTGTGTCTTCTCCCGCAAGTTGCACTTCCATTCCATGGCAGGATTGCCAAGGAGCTGCTTGAGCGTGAGCCGCTCCTTGAAAGGCACTGGCCACTCAAAGTGCTTCACTTGCACGTCTCGGCGAATACCGATGATATAGACCCGTTCGCGGTGCTGCGGAATTCCGAAGTGCTGTGTGTCCAGCAGCTTGTAATAAACATTGTAGCCTGCAGCACACCATGGCAGAGCTTCTGCGAGCCACTATGCGGTTGAAACAATTTAAAAAGAAGATGCGTTCACAAAACATTCTGAAGCAAGATAAGAGGCATTGCTCACCATTGGGAAGCTGAATGTCTCTCAAAGCTTGGATCAGCCAGTTGAATTCCTTGGGAAAGAGTGACGGGAGGCCCTTTACATTCTCGGAGATAAAGCTGCGAGGCTTGTGCTTTTCAATTTGAAAAGGGATCAGAGCCATGAGACCGCCTCTGGAATCTGCAGCCCCAGACTTACTACCGGCAAGACTCCAACTTTGACATGGGCTGCCGACCGCGTAAAGGTCAACATCAAACCACACACGCCCAAGATGCAATGTGTTCTCCATGTCGTTCTCCAACTGCTGGGGCTTGACAAACTCAGAAATGAATTTCCTTCAGGGAGATTAAAAAATCACTTTGCACAAAAAAAATAGAACCCCATCATCATTGTAAATTAATTACTTGTGCTCCTGAAGTTGGAATCAATTTCAGAAGTGTAGATGTGCTTCACATTGACAGATGAAGGCAAGTTCACTCGCACCGCTGGCCCTTCAGTGCAAAGACCAGAGCAGTCAGAAGCCAGCGTGACTTCGGCCGGGGTGTTTGGAGGCTGCGCAGCTATGAGTTTCACTTTGCCAGGCTCTGCTGGGAGCAGCGTGGTCTTGGCAGTCTTGCTTGCGCCTCCCTGGTCTGAAGCTGGCCGCTTGGTTGCTTTTCTACTCTCGGTTTCTGTCGCTGCTGGTAGGGGGGTCTTTGCGCGCCCACTGGCCGTGGCTCTCGGCTTGGACAACCGCGGCGCCATGATGGAATAAACCTACCAAAAAAAATCTTGCTGAAACGACAGCGGCCATGTGTGCGATGTGGCTGGTCTCTCTGATTGACAGCGCCATGCGCAGTGACTCAAACGGAAAAGGTGTTGCTGCAAAGACCTTTTCCTTCCAATTTTTGAGCTGTGAGTGCAAAACCACAGCTACTCTGTCAGTCAGCCTTGTCCAAATGAATCTTCGACCTCTTGTCAGGTCGGGCCAAACGCCTCAAAGACCATTTTGCGCCGATCGTGATCCTCATCCCAAAAAATATCACTGGCCTTGCTGCTGGAGGTTCGCCAACTGAGCCCTGAACTCATTCAGCACAGACGCTGCTGTGCCACTGTCATTGCCACTGGTATTGGGTGGGTTGCCAGTCGTTCCGCTAGAGGCTGGATGGCTGACGCCTTGCTGCTCTGCCGTCCTTGCACCGCTTGGCTGAGACGACCGGCCAGCGCGATCTCCTCCCAAACCTGACTGACGCGCTGAAAATACATTTGAATGAAAGGCGCTACACCAAAAACAAACAAAAGGCCAAGCAACTTGCAGCCAACTTGGGTTCGAACACGCTTTCGGAAGAAGAGAGCATGCGCAGCATGATCTCAGTGACAATGCGGTCTTGGACCTGGCTCAAATGATCTTCAGTGAGGCAGAGACCGCAGTAAGGCATGCGACTCAAAGCGCGCGCCAGGGCCATGTTCCCATCGCCAGCTCCAGCGTCCACCACGGCAGCCAGGTTGTAACTGGCCAAAAGCTCAAGGCAAAGGCTCAAAGGACGGCTATGCCAAAACACGGGCTCTTCAGTGTTGAGCTTGCGGTTGCTGACTCCACGATGGCTCTCTGCTTCCCCGGTGGTGCGACCACCAACGGACACCCGGTACTTGCCAAACAAAGTGATTTTGTCCTGCCCACAAATGCAGTGGCAAGGGAAAAAGGCCAAAAAAAAAGCCTGCACCCCCCTTCTAAAAAATCTTCAATCCATGCCTTCAAAGCCATAGACCAAAGCAATTTGGGGCTCTCCAACAACACGTCTCCGATCTTGTTCCCGAAGTTGGTCCCCTTGTAGATCTTGCGGTTTGTTTTGGTCATGGCGTCTCCAAAATTCTCAGCAGTCACCAGCGTCATTAGCTCAACTTGCTGAAAAGTCGTTGAGTTTGCTTTGATGTACTGCCGGCGTTGCTTGAGACTTTCCTCATCATAGGAGATGAAGACACCGAAGGAGTTTTTGTTCAAGGCATCTCCGGCTGGAGTCTGGAAAGAACCTAGCACTTTGTTCAAATTGCCAGGCAAGAACGAATCAAAGTAGATAAAGAGGTCGCGATGGTGCAAGGTCAGCTGCTGCTTGTCCCTGGACTTGACCACTGACGCCAAGAAGGTCTTCAAGTACTGCTGGTTCAACGGGCAAACACGAATGTGTGGATTCGTCACAGCTTCACCCCACTGAGCAGGATCCAGCAAGATTCCCACCCACTGATTACCACCACCTCTGACTTAGCAAGCAGCTGCTTTGTCAAAGTACGCGCACAACTCATTCTCTGACGGTTGGAAGACAAAGAGCTGGACGTTGGAAGCCATGAGGTTGCGAGCTTTGTCCTCGAAGTACTGAAGCTGCGCCAGAGTCTCTTCATTCTTGATCTCCCCGATTTTGGCCTGCACATCCCCCAGGAATGCCTTGAAAGCAGCACTTCTGACTGGCAAACCCTCCTGGGCCTCCGGGTCTTGAGTTGCGCCTTGCTGGGCTTCAGCTCGGGCTGCTGCAGATGCTTCTGCCCTGGCCTCATCCAGCTCTTGCCGCAAGAGCTGCTGGAATTCTCTATAGCGCTCACCCAATTTGGTATCCATGGTCAAGGCATCCAGGGGAGCTTTACCTGCCACCACAGCTGCTTTGAGATTGTCGTCAAAGACCGTGCCAAAGACTGACTCCTGGGTGCTGTTGATAAATCGAAAACCATGCGGTAATAAAAACTGAAAAAATACTATGTTAAACAAAATGGATGGCCCCACGGTCCTGAATCAGTTGCATTACGTGATCAGCAGAGCGTGACCACCCAGCTTTCCATGAGAGGTCCGCCGGGCTGTCCGGGAAACCGACCTTTCTTCGGAAGGCTTCGTGGGAAGCAAAGAGTCTTTGAGAGCTTGGCGGTATTTCTCAGGCATCTCTTTGGCTTCAGTTGAAAGCAAGAAGTCGCTGATGAAGTAGTCTCTGAGCCTCATCTTGTATAAGACCAGATCGCACAGACCTTTGCCACCTGTAGCACCCTGGCCCGTCAACTGCCGCACAGACACTTCTCCTTCAAGAAGGCCAGCCAGTTTGGAATCGTGCATGTGCGTGAAAAGCCAAGCAACTTCTTCAAAGCGGGTAGACTTGGAGACCATGGCGTGCAACTTGCTGACAGAATCCCAAAGGCTCTTGCCACAAGCTTCTTCCGCCAGGATCACCTGCAGAATTGCGTCATGCCGCAAAGCACGGTCCATGACCATGGAAGCATGGCCCAGAAATCCTGCTCATATGGGTGATGGGTGGCCAAAAAAAAAAAATCCTTCCTTTCAGTACACAAAAAGATAAACAGTAACAGGGGTCCTTTGGTAATCTTCTCCGACTTGGCGCTGAACTTGAGCTTCTCGTCATACAACTGCAGAAGCGCCTCTGGCGTGTAAGCCACGCCCATCGCCTCTCTCTTCTGCATGACGTCAAACACCCTCTGTGTGGGTGTGCGGGCGAGGAAGGACAGTTGGGTCTGATCCTCCCTCAGCTGCTGGGCCACCCACTCCATCTCTTGCGAGTCAGCTACAACCCTGATCAACACTGGGCAGGATAAACAATGACCTAGCCATTCCTGCAACTGATCACCCGCTGCACCTGCTTCCACTTTCTGCGCTTCGGCGGCAGCTGCTTCGAAGAAGGCAATGATGGACTCTTCAGCACTGAGACGCTTCCAAGTGCCAAAGGCTGGCACAGTCTTTGAGTCCACCTCTCGCCGCAAGAAGCCCACAGTGACTTGCTGCTGGTCCAAACCATTCGGTGTAGAAAACCAATGGGACTTCACTTGGTCAATGGCGCCTTGACTGATTGGTATCTGCGGCGTGGCAGACCAGCTCTGGTCAAGCCACAAAGCATTCATGATGCAAAGGTACTTGCCTTCACGCTTGAGGCTTTCCAGAGCAGCCTTTTCATCAAAGGGCTGGCCAAAGCTGTGCGTGTTGGGGCGGAGCTGCACAGCATCTTCACTCACTGCCTGCTCTTTGAAACGTCGGACATTCTCTGCATGTTTTGCCCAAACTCCACCATTCAGGCAAAGCGCCTGTGAAGACACCCCCGGGCTGCCAGAAGCCAAGTTGGCCATGAGTGCCGGGTCTTGGCTGCCATTAGCTTTCGGAGTCTTGGCGGCAGCCTTGGCAGCCTTGGCCTTGGGCTCAGCAGTTTCAGGTAACAGCTCCGCGCCTCTCTTCGCTGCTGACTTCTTGGGAGCCATGGCTACTACGCACCCACTCTGCAGAAACTCAGCCGTGGGAAGTAATAACTAAGTTGGAGGCACACTCACAGCTGGGCCAGGACTGCAAGGATCTTAAAATGTCTCCTGCTGAAATCAAGACGGTTGTACCATGCCATGCGTGTGACCCGTACAAAATTCGGGCCAAATGCAGTATTCAACGCGTATTTGACTGCCATGCTCGTGACCCGTACTAAATTCGGGCCAGCTGCAAGAGTCAACGCGTATTTGGCTGCCATGCTCATGAGCCGTACTAAATTCGGGTCCTCTGGGGAGTTCAAAGACCAGGACTGCCATGTTAGCACATGGTCAACCGTGTAAGAACACGGCGGCCAAACGCGTATTTGCCTGCCGTGCTACCACATGGCAGACCGTGCGCTAACATGGCGCAGCCTCCTTGATAAAGAAAGGAGGCTGCCATGTTAGCACATGGGAAACCGTGTACAAACACGGCGGCCAAACGCGTATTTGCCTGCCATGCTGTACATGGTGAACACGTGCAACACATGGCGGTCGAACTGCTTCCTGGAAATAGTAGGGAGAGGCCTTAGTAGCGATCTTTTTGAACTCAACTTGCTGCCCGCGGAAGGCAAAAATAGACAACAGGAGACTGCAGAAGCCTCCTTGCAACATGAAACGTTCGGCCTGTACAGGACCAGGAGACCTCTTGCACCTCCTTGTACCTTGTTACTGAGTGCATTCAGAAGTACGATGCCTCCGTCCTTGCAGGAGTCTACTTGAGCCTCCTTGATTGCTATTGCAGCGCATGCCAATTGACAGCCGTAGTTGCAGCAGGACAGGATCCTTCCGCACTCAAAGTTGCCCAAAAACAATTTCATTTTCTCTTCCGTCGTCGCGCACAGGAGACTTCGCTTGAACCTCCTTCGTGGACGAGTTTGCTTGAGTTAGGCGGGTGGCACTGACACACAGGAGATAGGTATCTTCATTTTTGACCGTCTCTCCTTGAATCGAATGAGCTCTATAGCGGACCTGCTTTTATTGAAGCTTTGGTGTGCGAACACACTGCAGGAATAAGGAGCTTCGCTAAGCTTCCTTGGCCATGCAGGAGACTGTGACTATGGCCTCCTTAGTATACTGTATCCCTGGCATGACAATGAAGTCCAAGCCCTCAGCTCCCACCCCGTCTGCACGCAAATTTTTAAACTCCTGCAGTTTGTGCGACAGAAACTGCATTAATTTACCCAGGCCCAGGCCCAACGACCGCCTGAACTTGAGTCTCCCCAGTCTTGCCAATGGCCTTTGTACAATGGAGCCTTTGGCTCCCAGCCGCCCTCATCATCGTCCTCGGGATCTTCCGGATCCCATTTGTTCTTGTTGTCGGCCCACCATACCGGCCTCCTTTTGCCACGGTTGGTCTTCTGGCGTTTGCGAGAAGGGTTCTTCCACGACTTGTATAAGTCCTGGCACGGGCAAAGAATTGCACACATCACAATTTATTGTTCTTTAACCCACAAAAACACCCCCCCAAACAAGGCAAATATTGCGCCGAGACACGCACTCCATATTCAAACATATACTCTTTCCTTGATAGGCTTGCGCACCACAGACGCGGCAAGCCCTCAAATCCAGTCTCACTGCAGGTCTGGATTCCCCCGGCTCTCTTTCCACGTCCACGACATCGGTGGCTGGAGTGGGTACCGCGGCAGCACTGCCAGGTCCAGGTGGCGGCGCTGAAACCAAGGGAGGCGGCGCAGGTGGTTCGGCACTGGCTGCCGCAGGAGGCAATCGGCTCCTTGATCGTCTCCAAGGCGGCTCCTCAGACTCCTCAGTTGGTCCAGGTGGGTTAGTGGCGGCGGACAGTGGTCCAGGTGCTGAACTTGACGCTCCGTGCGTTGGTGCGGAATGTCCAGGTGCTCCTACAGAAGGAGCAGCAGCTTCAGAAGCACTCGGCCCACTCAGCATTCCAGGCGGCGCGGTTACCGAGCCTTGGAGAATCTGCCAAATTTGGTGAGCAAGCTGCCCAGCCAGATTATTGGCTGCTGCTCCCGCAGGCACACCACTGCCAGTGCCGCTGCCAGGCTCAGAAGGCCTTGGCGGGGTTTCTGGCGCTGCCAACGCCACGGCCAGCCACAACAGCCAGCAGAGTCGCACCATGTCACTGCGACAGTCGGGAACACAGTTTGAGCGCTAAAAACGGCTGCGGAGAAACATGCATACATGGACCGTGCCGGTCAGAGTACAAGGTGGTGCACGTCAGTTGGCAACTGCCAAGTTTGCAACCTGATGTGGACTGTGGCGTCCCGTGCGCTGCTCCATTTTTCCGCCAAGGGAAGAAATCTTTAGACCGTGCAAGCACTAATAGGATGCAGCAATACCAGATCTACTTCGAGACTTGTCCTCGGAGCAGAAGACCCAGTGCTCGACAGCTTCACTCAAGCCGGTGAACTGCAGCCGCACTTGGGGAAAATCTTCATCAATTTGGTCATTGCGAAGGACAATGAGTTGGCGAGCCCTGGACACAGTCAGCTTCGCGATGGCGTCATCCAAGCCTTGTCGGTTCAGCAACTGGAAGTTGCACTCCTGAAGTTGCAGCACTTCAGCCAAGTCTGTGCACAATGCTCTGTTGCCATTGACAAAGGCAGGCGTCATGAAGAAGCTCCTCTTGACTTTGATCGCGGGTTTGAAAGCTAACGCCACCCCAAAGTGACCCTTGGTCTCCACAAACTTGGGACACGCAAGGATTCCACCCACGAGACCTGCAAAAAAACGTAGGGTAGGGGACACATTGGTGGGGTCTTGGCAAACAAAGATCCTCCCAGCATGCAAATCGCGGACAATAGTGGCATCTGCCGGAACATGCACGTCTGGGCAGAAGCCAACGTAGATTGGAGCTTGGTCGCACCATGCAGCCTGCGCCGTTGTCCAGATTAGTTGAAAATAATTTTCGGAATAATGAAAGCAAACAAAACTTAAAATTGACGAGTAACCTCTTTGTTGCTGACTCTGCTCTGGACCAATTTTTGATCATTGTTTCTTTGTCGTTGTGTCTTTGCGAGCTTCTCTGCGGTGGTCGCCACCAAAGCTCGGACAGCGTCAGTGATCTCCGATGAATGGATGACACCCAGCAAAGCTTCTTCAATTTGGGCCTTACTTTTTTTGTCAGCGTTAAACCGGAGTTCTGCCATCTGCTTCTCCCCAAACACTTCGGCTATGTCATCCGCAGAAGACACTGTTTTGGGCAGGCTTGCGGCGGCAGAGCTGCTGGATGCCAGCTGGTCATTGACAATCGCGCAGCCCTGCAGAAAACCAGCTTCACCATCTTTCAATTTTTTCCTGAACAAAGCAGAGAATGTTAATTGCAAGCTTGCAACTGGAAAATAATTACACAGCAGGAAAACACAGTCCTTGGGATGCACTTGTCCCACCGCTGAACTCTCTTCAGTGAACCACTTGCCCGGACTCGGCTGCAATGAGCAACCCAAACTTTCTTGGCAGCGCAGATCAGCTCCTTTTCTTCTCCTGCTCCAAATTCGGGGGACGAGACAACTTGTTGCAAAATCAACATGACTTCTTCCAAGGTAGCGTTCTCGTCTTGGGATTGACCCAATTGCTTGCTACCTTGCGCAGCTGAAAACCCACGCTCCACACCAGAGGAACTGCAGCTCCAGCAGGCCAATCGAGCAAGGGCTGGGATGAGCGCATCTGCGGAATGAACCATGCGATTCTTCTCTGTGCATTGAATTGCTTTCTTCCATGCGTGAAAATTTTCCAAGCCCTCTATTCTGGCATATTTGCTGGCAATGGGTAGGAAATGTTCGAACTCATATTTCAAAGATTCCTCCTCCACACCAATGGCCCGGGCCAACTTTTCAAGACAATTGGCTCGCTCACCACTTTCCAGCTGTTTCTTGAGCCTCGATTCATCCGAGAGGGAGAAAACACGCAGAGAGGACACCAGTTGAAAATGTGGGAATTCTCCTTCCAGCACAGATTCAGCCACAGCAACGTAAGCAGACATGCGCTTCAAACACTGACGCTTCAGCTCTTCTGTGACGGCATCTGCTCCTCCCAATTTGGCTCGAAATCCTTGGGATATCAGCAGCCGCTGCTCCGACAGGTGCTGCAACATGATCTTTGTCAGACCAACATGAAGGCAAGCTCCTTCAACAAAGAGCTTCCGGATCACACCTCGATACCGATCAAGCTCATATGGAAGTTCGGACTCATCACAGACATCTGTGTCGAATGCCCTCACCACTCTATGCAACTCAAGGGCCGCGTCCGCAAGCATGCTCAAAAGCAAAGCTTTTTCTGGAGTCAAAAACTGCAAGGTAGCAAGGCATGCTGCGCCTTCAGCCGAAGTTCGGCCTCTCATGTCTGGAACTGCGGTGAGCACACCAAGGACTGCATCCCAAGTCAAGACCAGTCGAGCAAGTACTTTGGACTCAGAGCTGTATCTTTGCGGTGCAAAAGCTAAGTCACGAATGCTCTTGGCAATGGGAACCTTTTCGTGACTTTTTTGCCGGAAGTCAGAGTACAAATCTTTGAAGACATGGCTATTGTTGATGAGTCGGGCAACAGAGTGCGGCTTCTCCACAAACTCTTCAATCACCTCCTTCAACTGCGGATCAGCTGCCCATGGGCGGCTCAACATTCTTTGCGCTGCGTGAGCGCGGTCTTTGCCAAGAACCTCAGGGAATCCAGGGAAAACCAAAATAATTAATATCCACACCACAAAGAAAAGCAATTGCGCCCCGCGCCTTCAAGTTCTGAAAAGATTGACCCATCACGTCCTGGAGCTCCACGATGTCCGGGCCACTGATGCCCGCAAGGTCACGCATGGCCAGCTGTTCATCGCCAGCTGCGTCGGCAGCAATGCATTCCACTTTGCCCATCAAGGCCTGCAGCAAGTCATTGTCACACGGTTTCTCCTCCTTGGCTCCTGGTAAGAGTCCACCATAAGTTGGCGGAAGTGACGGCGTACAAAAATTTTGCAGGGCCTTCAAAGTCATCTGCCTGATACCTTGAGCGCCGGGAGCATTGGGTGAGGCCACTACTTTGACCAACTGGAGTGTTCCATAACACACTGCTAACTTAGCGTCCACTGCACGAAAGCGGACCAAGAACCTGCGTCCACGTTGATCTTGGGCAAGGGAAACGCAGAGAGCTGTTTGGATTGCCTCTCTCTGCTTTTGCCGATGAGCTTCAGCCAAGCACCAACGCATCATGTGAGCCTTTTTGCGGTTTCCAGCATCGTCCACATCGGCTTGACAGTGACCCGGCTTGCTGTGAGAGATGACTGACTTCCATTCAGACATGGTTGGCGAGAAACCACCAATTTCCTCAAGCGCTGGCGCTTTGCCACCGGCCATACTTTCAGCAGTGCGGTGAGCAGGCGAAGCAGCATGTTTGCGGAAACGAGCCACACGAATGTCACCACTGTTCACTTCATACCTTGCAAAGTGATGCCTCGAAACCGGAAACTTGGACATGGCTTCAGGACTCACTTCCTGAGCATCATGGCACAGTCGGCAGCCCAAGCCCCAACTGCCACTCTCCATATTCATTTTGGCGTCCAACCATGCTAATTCTTTCTGCCATACAGGCTTATATTTCACCCATGTGCATCGAGCACATTTTGCACCTGCAGAGCAAGCTTTCACATGTGCATCATCATCATAGCCGCCAAGCGAACAGTTGCCCAACTGCTCTGACATACTTGCTGATCCCTAGGTTTGAGCCGGTCAAGCAGAAAGGGAAATGTGTGCGGCTTGCAGCCTAACAATAATAATGACTGATCAACTGATAGGAAAGCCTGCCAAGCTGGCTGCCGCCATGAAAGAAATTACTGAATGACACTCAGCCACTGTTCAAAGTGACCCCTTCGGCCAGTTTTTCCCCTCAGCCGCGTCTCCCCTGCGGCGATGAGACGTTGATACACTCCGGACAACGGTCAGATGCGACGTCCAAAAATGATCTTCAGCAAGTATGTGAATCTCAGTCTGGGAAATAGCAGCTTCAACAGCGCAGCTCTGCTCGGATCTTTTTGGCTAACTGGCGTGTCTCCGAGTTCTCAGCTGTCAGTGTTAAACATAGGGGTTTAGTTTAGTAACAAAACTTGAGCAAAAAGAGTCGAAACTTCTGGCGGCAGTCAAGATGCGCTGTTCATCAAATAGCCATGCTTGTCTTTGAGCCCACCCTGCGGAGAAGCTGCTGTTGAACCATCTGGGCTGAGGTTGCTGCATCCTGCTTCCATGGCTTCTCAGAATTGCAAAACAAAGTCGACCTCTTTGGGCTCACCGGCATGAGGAGCTGGCCAAATCTTGTCGCTTGGCTCGTCTGACACATGGCTGAAAGCATTGGTTGAGAAAACACTGCTACTGACACAGGAGACCTAAGGAGCCTCCTTGCGTGACTTCCCCCTAGTAGCTGCTGGTGTTGACCAATTGTCCAGGAAACTATAGAAGCCTCTCTGCGCAATGAACGTGGCAAAAAAAAAGAAGAAGTTCACAAAACACTTTTCTCAGGAGTGTCTACCTCCTTGGCCAAGGAAGCTTATATGATGAATGTCAGTGATCCTTGCTCAGGAGGGTGCACCTCCTTGGTCAGGACACTGATGGATAATGATAACATGTCAATGATTGTTGCGTGCACCTCCTTGGTCCTGGTCAGGAGGTGTGATAATGAAAACTTGTGAATGAAATCCTTGCTCAGGAAGGTGTACCTCCTTGGCCAGGACAGGAAATCTGAATTCATTATGGAAACACTGGTAAATGATCTTTGCTCAGGAGGGTTTAGCCTTCGGCAAGGCATGTGACATATGAATTTACATGAGTTGATCATGGAAACAGTAACATCTAAACAAGACAAACATGTTTGAAGCAATACGTTTTCTCCAATATGTTAAATCAAGAGAGTTTTGGGCAACACATACATATCCCTGAATGACTTGTAACATATGTTAAAAACCAACTCTATAACCATGTCTTAAAACATAGAAGCACCACCAATCAGCGCAAAGAACCTTACTAAATCCACCCCAGTCTAAGAATGGCAAGCGGTTCGTCCTTTAGGACCATGGTGTTTTGCTGCCGGGAGCTGCAGCAGCATCCAGAGCAGCAGCCGCGGCAGTAGCAGCGGCAGTAGTGACTCCAACAGCAGCAGTAGCAATAAGAAATACACATTTTGGACTCGGTCCGTCCTTTAGGGCCATGGTGTTTTGCTGCCGGGAGCTGCGGCAGCAGTTAGGGCAGCGGCCGTGGCAGTAGCAGCGGCAAGCTTTTTGTAGGATTTCAGAAGGGACGTTTCGGCCCCGGAAAACGTACATTTTGGACTTGGTTCGTCCTTTAGGGCCATGGTGTTTTGCTGCCGGGAGCTGCAGCAGCAGCCACAGCAGCGGTGGTGGCAGTAGCAGCGGCAGCAGTGAGTCCAGCAGCCGCAGTAGCAGTAAGGTAAAAAACTGATTATAATAACTTTCCGCACCAGCAGCACGCTCTTTGTAGGATTTCAGAAGGGACGTTCCGATCGCAGGACGTATATTTTGGACTCGGTTCGTCCTTTAGGGCCATGGTGTTTTGCTGCCGGGAGCTGCAGCAGCAGCCAGAGCAGCAGCCGTGGCAGTAGCAGCGGCAGCAGTGACTCCAACAGCAGCAGTAGCAGTAAGAAACGCACATTTTGGACATAGGGCCTAGTTTTTTGCTGCCGGGAGCTGCGGCAGCAGCCAGAGCGGCGGCCGTGGCAGTAGCAGCGGCAAGCTTTCTGTAGGATTTCAGAAGGGACGTTTCGGCCCCGGGAAACGTACATTTTGGACTTGGTTCGTCCTTTAGGGCCATGGTGTTTTGCTGCCGGGAGCTGCAGCAGCAGCCAGAGCAGCGGCCGTGGCAGTAGCAGCGGCAGTGAGTCCAGCAGCAGCAGTAGCAGTAAGGTAAAAAACTGATTATAATAACTTTCCGCACCAGCAGGAAGCTTTTTGTAGGATTTCAGAAGGGACGTTCCGACCGCAGGACGTATATTTTGGACTCGGTTCCTCCTTTAGCGCCATGCGGGAGCAGCAGCAGCAGCAGCAGCAGCTGTGGAAAAATGTTGTTTTTCTAGGATTTCAGAAGCAGTAGCAGCAGCAGCAGCAGCAGGCAGGCTCAGCAGCTGCAATCGCTTTGTTTTTACCAGAATCCAGAAGGGACGTCAAGCCCCGGGGCAGCATGTTTTTTGAGGTCGTTCCGTCCTTCAGTAGCATGGTGTTTCGGTGTGGCGAGGGCTGCAATCGCTTTGTTTTTACCAGAATCCAGAAGGGACGTCAAGCCCCGGGGCAGCATGTTTTTGGAGGTCGTTCCGTCCTTCAGGGCCATGGTGTTTTGCTGATGACTCACTTCAAATCCCACACCTGATGACTCACTTCACTACACAAACTTGCATGTTGCACCCCCACATGCCGTTTTTCCACAATACCTAATGGAAACCATACAATCGTCATCCATTTTCCTTCTTCACATTTTGAAATTTCCTCTTGATCCACGGCTTGGCCCCCTCACTTGGGTCGAAGTCTGCAAGGGCAAAGTATAGCCAAAATAACCATGGGCAAGTCACATCTGCAGCATGTCGTTCTAACAACTCTAAACAAATAACTTTTGCGTGGCACACAAAAAAATGATGCACCACACCTTAGGTCTTTGTGATGATATGTGGTGACCTCTAAGCTGGAGCTTTCTTGTCCTAATAGCTTTTAGCAGTTTAGTCTTAGGTCTCTCAGCCCAAATGCACATACATGTGTTGTTCAGTTCAGAGCAAGCTTCATGTCAACTGTCTCGTCACTCTTGCCTGTTTCACCAGCCCTTGATCAAATTGGAACATTGCGGCACCTGCTCAAGGCCTATAAGTCATCTGCATCAGGTATATTTTGCCAGATATTGTTTCACTTTCTCGAACAGTTGCATGGTCCGCAAAACATGCGGAACCTTACGAATGTTTACTTCGGCAAGAGAACCTTTACTTATTCTTTTCCGGGGTCGGCGGCAGGGGCGGCAGCCCTTAATAATCCACCATACTTTTGGTCCAATAGGTTTTTAAAAAATCTACGATATTCTACAGAGATGTTCCCGATCGTTCTTTAGTCCAAGAGAACAATTGGAACATGTGGAAATCATGCGTTCTTTTTTGCCAAAACTACGAATATACAGCTAAGATCTCACAAGCACCACGGACTTTTCAGGCTTCACTATTGTGAGCCATACGGAGCCTGAAGTTTGAGACCATCGACAGGGAGGTGAAGCTCCACCTGGGATGGGGTTGGGTGAAAGGTTTTATCCCAACTGGGTTTGGATGTTTTTATCCAAATTTGGGATGTTTTTTCTGTAATTGTTCATGGGTGTTTATGGTTGTTTTTCTTCTTTCGTTTTGTGCAACAATGAAACCGTCAACATGCGGGATGATGCGCGTTGATCCTTTGGTTATTTTTCACCTTAGTTTATGTAACCATCAACATTTGGGATGTTTGTTTTTTTTGTTTTGTTTTTTTGCATCCATATTATATAATCCATGTTATGCATGCGTTCGTACATGCGTTGCGTGCTCTGCATAGCTAATAGATGCTCCCATTGGCATGAAATACATCAAAAGTAGACACTGCGTCTTTGAATGTCTTTGACATGTCCCGACCTATCCGACATATTGATGTGGAACCACAACTTCAGTCTTTCTCCCCGTTGATCTTGAGATCTTCAGATCTGACAAGACACCGTCTCCGTCTGAGGTGCGAGATCTGTTGCTCCGCTTGCCTCTTCCACAGTGACCTGGATAGTGTGGGGCACTGGATAAAATAGATCATGTTCGACAATTGGTCCATGGAAATCAGCAAAATACAAGCAAGAAGAGTAGGGTGATGGAAGTCAACCTCGTTTCAATGTGGCCCACCCGCACTGCACCATGCACCCACGGCATGCCCATGTCCATATGTAAACAATTAGCATTTGAGCGGCTTGTTACATAATTGGGTGCCGTCAATACAGGGCACCTACAACGCCTACAAGGGCATCTGCTTGTGCCCCTCAAAAGAGGTCATATCTTCAATCTGCAACCATTCATTTTAAAATCCCGCGGATTTTGATCCGCGCTCATGTGGGACATGATTGCATGATCGGAAAACGTGCGCGTTTGACTTGTTTTGACACCTTTTTGCGAACATGTGCGCACAATTTTCTGTGTAAATATCTGTCATATCAATTCATATCATACATGCGCTTGTACATGCGTTGCATGCGCTGCATAGCTAATAGATGCTCCCATTGGCATGAAATACATCAAAAGTAGACACTGCTTCTTTGAATGTCTTTGACATGTCCCGACCTATCCGACATATTGATGTGGAACCACAACTTCAGTCTTTCTCCCCGTTGATCTTGAGATCTTCAGATGACAAGACACCGTCTCCGTCTGAGGTGCGAGATCTGTTGCTCCGCTCTCTTCCATAGTGACCTGGATAGTGTGGGGCACTGGAGAAAATAGATCATGTTCGACAATTGGTCCATGGAAATCAGCAAAATACAAGCAAGAAGAGTAAGGTGATGGAAGTCAACCTCGTTTCAATGTGGCCTACCCGCACTGCACCATGCACCCACGGCATGCCCATGTCCATATGTAAACAATTAGCATTTGAGCGGCTTGTTACATACTTGGGTGCCGTCAATACGGGGCACCTACAACGCCTACAAGCGCACCTGCTTGTGCCCCTCAAAAGAGGTCATATCAATCTGCAACCATTCATTTTAAAATCTCACGGATTTTGATCCGCGCTCATGTGGGACATGATTGTATGATCGGAAAACGTGCGTGTTTGACTTGTTTTGACACCTTTTTGCGAACATGTGCGCACAATTTTCTGTGTAAATATCTGTCATATCAATTCAGATCATACATGCGCTTGTACATGCGTTGCATGCGCTGCATAGCTAATAGATGCTCCCATTGGCATGAAATACATCAAAAGTAGACACTGCGTCTTTGAATGTCTTTGACATGTCCCGACCTATCCGACATATTGATGTGGAACCACAACTTCAGTCTCATTCCCCGTTGATCTTGAGATCTTCAGATGACAAGACACCGTCTCCGTCTGAGGTGCGAGATCTGTTGCTCCGCTCTCTTCCATAGTGACCTGGATAGTGTGGGGCACTGGAGAAAATAGATCATGTTCGACAATTGGTCCATGGAAATCAGCAAAATACAAGCAAGAAGAGTAGGGTGATGGAAGTCAACCTCGTTTCAATGTGGCCCACCCGCACTGCACCATGCACCCACGGCATGCCCATGTCCATATGTAAACAATTAGCATTTGAGCGGCTTGTTACATAATTGGGTGCCGTCAATACAGGGCACCTACAACGCCTACAAGGGCATCTGCTTGTGCCCCTCAAAAGAGGTCATATCTTCAATCTGCAACCATTCATTTTAAAATCCCGCGGATTTTGATCCGCGCTCATGTGGGACATGATTGCATGATCGGAAAACGTGCGTGTTTGACTTGTTTTGACACCTTTTTGCGAACATGTGCGCACAATTTTCTGTGTAAATATCTGTCATATCAATTCATATCATACATGCGCTTGTACATGCGTTGCATGCGCTGCATAGCTAATAGAAGCTCCCATTGGCATGAAATACATCAAAAGTAGACACTGCGTCTTTGAATGTCTTTGACATGTCCCGACCTATCCGACATATTGATGTGGAACCACAACTTCAGTCTCATTCCCCGTTGATCTTGAGATCTTCAGATGACAAGACACCGTCTCCGTCTGAGGTGCGAGATCTGTTGCTCCGCTCTCTTCCATAGTGACCTGAATAGTGTGGGGCACTGGAGAAAATAGATCATGTTATTCGACAATTGGTCCATGGAAATCAGCAAAATACAAGCAAGAAGAGTAGGGTGATGGAAGTCAACCTCGTTTCAATGTGGCCCACCCGCACTGCACCATGCACCCACGGCATGCCCATGTCCATATGTAAACAAGTAGCATTTGAGCGGCTTGTTACATACTTGGGTGCCGTCAATACGGGGCACCTACAACGCCTACAAGCGCACCTGCTTGTGCCCCTCAAAAGAGGTCATATCAATCTGCAACAATTCATTTTAAAATCTCACGGATTCTGATCCGCTCATGTGGGACATGATTGCATGATCGGAAAAAGTGCGTGTTTGACTTGTTTTGACACCTTTTTGCGAACATGTGCGCACCATTTTCTGTGTAAATATCTGTCATATCAATTCATATCATACATGCGCTTGTACATGCGTTGCATGCGCTGCATAGCTAATAGATGCTCGCATTGGCATGAAATACATCAAAAGTAGACACTGCTTCTTTGAATGTCTTTGACATGTCCCGACCTATCCGACATATTGATGTGGAACCACAACTTCAGTCTCATTCCCCGTTGATCTTGAGATCTTCATACGACAAGACACCGTCTCCGTCTGAGGTGCGAGATCTGTTGCTCCGCTCTCTTCCATAGTGACCTGAATAGTGTGGGGCACTGGAGAAAATAGATCATGTTATTCGACAATTGGTCCATGGAAATCAGCAAAATACAAGCAAGAAGAGTAGGGTGATGGAAGTCAACCTCGTTTCAATGTGGCCTACCCGCACCATGCCATGGCATAACCCATGGCCTTAGGGAGGGGTTGCCAAGGAGTCGCCAGCCGCGGCTCAGCCCAGTACGGCAGGGCGTCCAGCGGTGCTGCCATCTGGCTGCAGCGAAGCACCAGCTGCAGCTGGGGTCCAGCCATCAAACCTGACACAGCTCTTGTGAGGCGAGATGGCTTGATGCGACTTGATGCTAGCCATAGACTGCTACTGTTTTTTTTTTTTAAATGTATGTGTGTATATATATATACACATACATACATACATACATACATACATACATACATTACATTACACTACACTACACTACACTACATTACATTACATTACATTACATTGCATGACATTACCTTACATACATACATGATTATACATGTATGTATGTGCGTGTATGCTTTATATAAACATGTCTGAACTGTCAAGTTGGGGATGTGAGACTCGAAGGAAAAGAAAGTCAAAGTAGGGATGTGATCTCAACATCCCGCTGGGTCACCTTCGGACCCCGGGACCCCCACCTGCCACTGAACAAGACTTCAGCCCAGTGCACTGAAAACTCTCTGCGGGCTCCAGCTTGATGCAGCTTGCAGCCGCTTCGCCGGGTCCAAGCTCCATATGTGCCAAGAACTCTGCTGGCGACAGCTCTCCCTGCAGCAGTGGGCTGCGATCTTCATCCACCAACTGCACTTCCAACCCAGTGGCCCCGGGACCGAAGAGGCTCAGCACAGAATCGCCCGAGGACACGGGAATGGAAAACTGGAACTCGTTGTCCAAGAAACAGCCGGCTGGGCGGGATGGAAACGGTGGAACTGCGAGGAAGAAGCTGGATGACCTTGAGCAATGGAGCATGTAATTCATGAACACGGCGCAGAAGCTGGAAGGCCAGAGATTTTTGGGGGATACCATGAGACCCCCATCATTCCTGACATACTGGCAGCACAGGAGAAACTCAAGCAAATATCTTCATGGAACCGTCTACTGAAGATGGAGAAACTCATCAAGCACAACTTGATTTGTGTCACTGGAGAACGTCGTCATTTTTTACCCGAGAGAGCTCATGTATGATAGCCAACCTCTGATTCCCTGCAAACAAAAACACACTTATCATGATATTGACATGTTTAGATACATCTCTGGTTTGTATACAACCATTATCATCAACCATCGCACCCACAAACATTGACAAGTAATTATTTATCTTGTATAATCTTCTATCTATATATATATATATAGATTGATTTGATTTACCAAGATGGACCCATTTTCATTTGTGCCATCTTTTTGGGGCTCTAAATGATCCAAGGCTGTCCCTCGGAAGTCTCCGAGCTGCTCCATCCAGCTACCAGCCTTTGCCAATCTCAGCCGCATGTAGCATCTCCCAGCGCACATCTCGGGCGACAACCCAAAGATCACATCCAAGCGCCTGGAAAAGGCGCTTGAAGGGAAGGAAGGGCGAGAATTGAAATGATCATTGGGACCATGGGATCCTTTAGGTAACCAAAGGGTATACAATTCCTCTAAGAATCCACCAAATGGGTTGGTTCCAAAATGTACCAACATATGCCAAGCCTGATCGCAGTAACGGTTAACGACCTCTTGCAAGGTCTTGAGGGAATAACGACCTGATTCACTCCTAAATATCTTCGATGAACATCTTTGAGCATACACAAACTACCATTCAGGTCCAAAGTGACCATGTTTTCCATCCAGTTATTTTGATGGTTCAACGGTTAAACAATCTCAAAACATGTTGAAACCTGATGTTTGACATCCCTCTTGTGTGGATTTTGTCACCTCAAATCCCTATTTCTGGTGTTAAGTCCTGTTGGGTCATCTCAAACTCCCCATGCTGATCATGTGTATCATGTTTCATGGCTTATATTAAATTGAGCCCCAGTTCAACCACAACTTCCACCACCAGTTCTCCAAGTGACACCCGCAGCAGGTGCACATCACAGGGCTCCACCAGGGCCAGCAACGTTCGCGTCCGCGTCCGCGTCGCGTTGCACCAGGCCCTTGGGGCCGAGTGGAGGAGCTGCAGCAGCAGCGGCAGCTGGGACGACTCCAGGTAGGGACGCAGCAGGTCGCGGACCTCCTAGGGACCAGGAGGTATCTGATTCGATCTGGGGAGACATATGAAAAATCTGAAAAATGATGGAAAAAATGGAGGACATGAAGTGACATGAAAATCAAAAAAATGGAGGAAACTCATTGAAAATTTGCACTTTTGATGGATTTTTTGGATCAATGGAAAGGATTTAGGGAAATGTGTCAACCGGAAACATCAGGAAACTATGGTTTTAGCGCCAAATGTAGTGTCGTCCAGTTGTTCTGCAGATTTCCACTGAATTCTGCGACTGGAGATGCGGCAACAACAGATTTATTCATTCATATTTATATATATTTTATATTTATATGTATCGATCTATATATATATGTGTGTATATATATATATGAGTGGCGGACAAAATTACATAAAATTACTTATTATTCGCAATGGACATGGCCAAAGTGGGTGGTGCCCTATCGGTTGTGAAGGTTTGTGCTTCCATGCTATGTGTAAATATGGGATATCGGTAAGTGGGCGGCCCCCTATCGGTTGCGAAGGTTTTCACACAAGTTTGAACATCCCAAGTCCACTCCCTACTACTTTCGTCTTCCGCTAATTTGTCGGTTACTCATATACATATACATACATATATATATATATATTGTGTGTGTGTGTTTAATTCATTTATAACATGTTATAACCCTTTATAATCATGTATATAACGATCGCTACGCTACAATTATAAGATGCCTATAAAATGTAACTATACCCACACATCTAATTATATCGTGACTACAATCCATCTAAATATAGAATATACACAGTATACACAGTAGATTTATCCATGCAAAAATCAGAGGTGGTGATGGCTCGTGAAACTGGATAGGGTTAGGGAGGGAGAAAAAAATCTACAAAATGATTTTACACGCCCCCCCCCCCAAAAAAAAAAAATGAGATTTCTATCTACCATCCCAGCCATCCCAACCCTCAATATCTACAAAATTATGAGATATTATGAGACATGTAGAAACACCTCTGAAAAAACAATGATATTCATTTACCATCCCCCATGACCATCCCCACTCCCCCAAAAAAAGTATCATCCCCCATCCCAACTTGGTACACCAGAAAAAGTGATAACTGATAACATCATTAAGTAGCGATATAATTTCAAGTTCCAGCCCCAACTGCATCAAGAAATGCGTTTGATTCATTCGCCCAATCTCTCTCTACAGATACATGCAAATACATACCCTGTGGTAATCATAGCACTGGAAATGTTCACATTTATAGATTTGTTCCAAGCTATAAACGTCCATTGTGGGTGTACATCCATTATATATATATATATATATCCATTCAATCCCATTATATAAATCCCTGATGTTGATGGTTTTAAATACATTTCAATACCTTTCATTCAATCCAGTCATATCCCATGAATATCCCATTATCTCAATTCTCTCATAAAATTCACATCATGGCATCCCACTAGATCCGTCTTCATGGTCAAATCCCAAACTATGGTTGAAAAACCATGGGAGAAGAAAAATAAAAGTTTAGTCACCACCCATCGTCAAACCATTGGAAAAACCATGGGAAAAATCATCTATCCCCAAAAACCATGGGAAAAAACATGGAAAATCCCTTATAAATGGAGGTTTCTAGCTGGGAAAATCATCTATAAATGGGCCATCTATACCATGGCTATGTTAAATAACCAGAGGGTAAAAAACCGATGAAAAACCATGGGAAAAACCATGGGAAAAACCATCTATCCCCAAAAACCATGGGAAAAACCATAGTCCAACCACAGTCCAACCCCATCCCATCCCAGGAATCCCATCTCCTCCTCCTCCAGCCATTCCGGTGGACTCCGGGGCCACGTCCTCCGCAGCAGCTCCAAGCGCAGCTCCACCGCCGCCACCGAGCTCCGCAGGGTCCACAGGAGCTCTCTCAGCTCCAGCGCCATGGGCCATGGGCCCCGAAAAAAAAGGGCCCCAGGTGGTCACCGGTGGTCCAATGATTCTGGTCATTCTGGTCACATTTTTTGGGGATTTTTTGGGATTTTTTGGGGATTTTTTGGGGATTTTGTTGGGGATTTTTGGTCAGCAAATGTGGAAGGGGCCATGAAATAAACCTGGAAATAAACCATTCACAACCCAGCGACTTGGGGTGCTGTGTGTGAAAGTGTTCTTCGAAGTGGAACCGGAAAGGCCAAGCTTTTTTGAGGTGTTTCTTGGTTGCTCAAGGTTGGCGTCATTTCTTGGATTTGAGGATCCACTTGATCCAGCTTGTGCTGTTCAACAGCTTCAAGATGGGTGAAATCCCTGGGAGCCCCCAGCTCCTTGGTCCAACGGGCCGCGCTTGAAACTGTGACCAGCTTTGGGGGACAAGCTTGCAGCCAACCCACAGATCAAACTTCATTGTAATTAGTATATGTTCTCTCGTAATGAATTGGAAAATGTATGAAAATGTGAGTTGCACAAATCTCAAACCATACATCCACAGGGCGTTGAAACAGCGCTAAATGACATCAATTACTGTAGGGGCTTGCACCGTGATCCTGTCTTCTCCGTCATGATACCGCAGGACTTTTATCTCAATTCAACGTGATCGAACATCAAATGGGGATGCGAAGGGTTTACAAACCACAAACTTTCAGAACCGCCGAAACAAAAGTTTCAGTGGTGACATTCCATGATTTTCATGCAGTCCACCCACCAAATTGGGGGAGGTCACATAGAGTACAGTATCACCGTCACTTTCAATCATGTCCTGCGCCCGCACATCACCCTATATAACTGTAGTATACTATAGTACTGTTTGGTGAGAATCCCCAAGTCATGAATAAACGTTGTCGGTCACTGGGCTTCCCACCGTTGTTCTCACTGGATCCCACCGCGGCCTCATCCATGACGACACACGCCGGATAGAAGCGATCTTCCTTGAAGTATTCCAGGTCCTCACCTAGCGGAAAATGATGGAAAATGACACTCAAAAGTAAGTGCGGAACACCAATTTTTTGATGATGTTCATAGCGGCTATGGATCATTGAGGGGTTCAAGTGGCTTGCCAAAATGCAAAATCAGTTGGTGCCGCCGTTTCTTGAACAAATAGTGACCTGATATTGCAAGTGTCCCACACGTATCAACAGAGTGCATCAAATTTGCGACAGGTTTTTCCTGTCATTAACTTTCCATGATCTTGATGCACTATCTGTTAGGTAGCCATTTGATGGTAGCCATTAACATGGAATATATGCTTATATAGCCATTTGGTGGTAGCCATATAACCACTATTATTGGTTTTTTTTTACCATATATTTCCATCAAATTTCCATGGGCTTTCCTATCTTTGTGACAGGTAGCCATCGCCATCACCATCGCCGGGCTCCCGGGCAGAACTTGAGCGGGGTGGTGACGACGATGTCCGTGGAGCCCCAACCTGAATCCACGCGACCATTCCACCAGGGCCACTGCCGTTTGTGAGAAAAAGTCACTATTTATGGAATTAAAATGAATTAAAGAGTTACAAATAGATTTAGAATCAAGTGTAACTATATAGCGCTATATACATATATAATCATATATATATAATATATAGCGCTAACAATATAGCCTAGCATACATAGCCTAGCTATATTTCAGCAAAGAGTTGAGATGATCTGGGCAATGATCTGGGCTATAATCTGGGCTATATGCTATTTTTGGGCAACTAGTTTGCTAAACTTTAAAAATAATGAGAGTGGGAATGTCACCAACCAAAGTGGGGCATGTTGACAAACGCTAGAGGAAGACACCAGCAACTTCAGCGATGGAATGCCAAACGAATCGATTTCCCACAGCATCTGACGGTGTCAGGCGGTATTGGGCTATTGCGGTCTCGCACATCCCAAGTTGCAATGAGAACAAAACGGATGCCTATCCATGTATAATATTTTATAATTATATATAATTATATAATCATAAACAATGAGTCATGTATAAGATTGTATAAGGACATATGTGTGTGATTGTGTGAGTGTGTCTGTGTCTCATGTACAATAATTATCAATAATTATCAATAATTATCAATAATTGATATACAGATACAATACAGTAAGATTTGAAATCGCCAACCTCCAACGATATCCTCTATCTGTCATCTGACAAGGAACGGATCTGCGGGGCCAGGGAGGCATAGGAAGAGCCATAACCTGCACCTGATGCCGGTGGCGGATGAATTTCTAAAGTCATGATCCGTTGTGATCTGTTGCAAACGACCGGGATATATCAAACCTTGATGTGTGCATTTTGGGCTGTAACACGTTGATACATGTTGTAAGGTGGGTATTACATGGTATTACCAGCTGCCTTCGGATCTCACAAGCAAATCAAGGAGATTCAGAAGCAAGTGGTCAGAAGTTCAGAGGGACCCTCAGGATTTCGTCAAAAAGCATTCAAAAAATTGAGTTTCTGCTTCAAACTCAATCCATTTACCCTCTGGTATATTGAAAATTGCCATTTATAGTGGATTTACATGGATTTACCCATTAAAAATGGTGATTTTCCATAGTTATGTTAGTTTACCAAAGGGATCCAAAGGGTACTTCACCATTTTCGAAACATTTTTGGCCTGGGGCCCTTTCACCGAGGCCCTCCGGGCTGCCCGCTGGCACCTCTGTCTTGGGACGTTCCGGCGCTTAGCTTTGACGGTAGAACCGTGCGCTCCTTGCACCGGACGCCGAAAGCATGGACCCTCCGCATGGCGGCCATTTATCGAAGATTTGCCGACTAAATCGACTAAGAATGGTGATATTCCATAGATTTCCATAGCTATGCTAAATTACCAAACCAAACCGTATCATCTTCAACCATCATGTGGAAGGTTCAGGTCTCAAAGATCATTTTTTTCTCCTACATTTCTCCTACGGTCCTACAGGCTGCACGCAGCAGGTCGGCTTGAGGGCAGATTTCAGCCCTCCAACTCCACCAAAGAGGAACATCCCCACCTGATGATGCTTCGAAAGCCAAGCAGCACCAGGCCTATACTATAAGGAACTCCCGAAACAATGCATCAGTTTTTGCAGGTTCTCACAGTGCGTTGAATCTTGGGCCAACTTTGTGCCAAACACTTCCCTCATGGCAGCCCCATATGTTGCCACATGCTTCTCTTGGGAATACTGGGATACTTCGAACCAGGGAGTGGATCCTGTGTACAAGGTCATCCGGTTGTTTAATTGAGTGGGCTATTTGACACTGCATCCTCATTTCAAAATTCAAAATATTTCAAGGTGTATAAGGATACCCTCTGAAAAGCAAACAATGAGCATGGAACCGTTGAAATTGAGGGAATATACTTCTCTCACATTGAATTCTGGAGCCCCCCCGCGCGGAGCACGGACTTCCGCGCTGAATTAGGTGCACCGCGGGCCACCAGGGAAGATCTCCTCAATGGCCCACCTATACAACCGGCTGCTGAGCAGATCCAGATCCAGCTCATCAGCCAGCCTCAGGTCTCTGAAAAAACCAAGACGACACCTAGGGTGATGCCATGGAACATAGCCATCCCCAAATGGCATGCCACTGGCCCTATGGGCGGCAAGTACCTTGAAACGCGGCCGGCAGTGTGGCCGGCCATCTTGCCCATGGGATCCGCATGATCCGTTTCGATTCTGCCGCTGTCCGTGAAGGGCGTCAAGAAACTCTGCAAGATCCTGAGCCATCCAACCCCTGCTCCAAACCCAAAAAACACGCACACACCTCCCCAAGACATGCGTCCAAAAAGCAGCTGTTGATTGCAAACTTTCATTTACTTTCATAACACTTCATGACCAGCTGATGGTGGGAGAACCCCTAGGCTACTAGGCGGACTTTTTCGGACTTATGATCATAACTTCTGATCCCAAGACATCCATAGGTATCCATAACTGAGTCACAAACAAGCCCCACAGATATCCCCATCCCCTCTAGCCACTCTAGCCCCCTTGCCCTACCCTCGAGCATTTCAAGGCTCTGAAAGACCAGCAGCCCAGCAATGAGAAAACGCCCCAGTTCTTGCGTGGCGTCCAAGAAGAGCACAACTGGGAGACTCAGCGATGCCACCACGATGGACCTGGCCGAAGGGTGCCACATGGTGCCATCGTAAGAAGGGGCGGATGGTCCAAGGATCATTCGACATGTGGCTTGCAGAATGGTTGAATACAGATCTACGGCAATGTACATTATAGTATAGATTCGATGACATGTATTTGGGTGACTTTTGACTTTTATTTAGTTTTTGCATGCGGAATCTGCGTTGCGCTGTACGTGCACATGTGAATCGAATGAATCAAATGTCTTCCTAACGGATGGGCATTTGAAAAGAACTGGGGCATAGGGCCTAGAAAATCCATGGAAAAATCCTACAACTTGGTCGTCTTGCCGTGCCAGCAATAGCATCCAATAGCATCTAGCAATGGTCCAGCGATGTTGAGCCCCTGAGCCAGGCACATGTACATCGAGAGCAGAATGCTTCGTGCCACGGTATGGGTACCATACCATGCCTCAACGGGCTTCGCCCGGTTGGATCCCAAGGATCCCATCTGGGTGTGGCCACCAGAAATGGATGGCGTGAGAAAAATCCGTCATTTTATGACACTTGACCCCCCACATATGCCCCATTTGGAACAGACCACCGGAAAACTCAGCAACTTCAGGAATCAACTTGAAGCCAAGATGCCTTTGCCCACGGATGGTCAAAGTAAATCATCACGGACAGTGGTGACAAGATGCCTCGGAGCAATGTTGGTGGAGCAGTTTGCCACATGAAGTCCCGCACCCCAACGGGAATGACAGGGCTAAGGGGTCAAGAATACTTTGTGGAAGTTGGAAAAATATGGAAAAATGATGAAAAATGCCAGTCAAAATTCTGGCATCAATAATCTTCCAAAAATTCAGGCTTCACGACCAAGACAATCAAGTTTCAAGCATCTTCGGATAAGAATTCAACCACCTGGATCAACTCATGCTGGCCCCCAGTGGCTCCATGGTGGGCAGCCCAACTTTTGGGCCAAGCCGAGCTGCCCACATTCATGCCCAGTGAAGCAATCAAGAAGCAGGTTTCTACCTGCAAGCCTTGCTCCATGACCTCACTTTTGCCATGAAATCTGGGAAATGTCTGACATCTTCCGGAAAAATAAGCCATCCATTATGGAGATGAAATGGGATGAAATGAGACGAGATGAGATGAGATGGTTTGAAGGTTCTTTTGATTTGAAAACGAATTGAGGTCATTCGAACATGAGATGTAAGAGTTACCGTAATTTGTCAACCAATGATTAACTGGTGGTTGGGCGTGGTGCTTTGCATGGCTTGGATTCCTGGTGGGAATCCTGCAAGCCACCAGTGGGCCACCAACCAACCAATGAAATGTTCCCGGAAATAACCAATCCATCATGGAGATGAGATGGGTTCAAGATGATGTGCTCTTGAAGATTTCTTGAGAGTCTTCGAACGTGATTTGATATGATTCAAGAATGATGTGACATAGTGAATTGATGTAATAGATAAACATGGTGACAGTGTCTGTGTGCATGAAAATATGATGGGATGTGGTGCTGTGGTAATGATGTCCGATGATATGATCTGGAAATATCTTGAAGGACCCAAACAGACTCCTCTTTTGCCTGGTGTATCCTCGATTTTTTGACTCAATCAGAATGTTCAGGGCAAACCAAGTGTTGCTGGCGGAAAGCGGAAAGTTTGAAAAAAAAACATCCTGCAAAGTATGCAGCCTATGAACACGTCTTTGCATTGAATGCAGTTAGGACTTTCCGAGAAAGGGGGCGAAGCTTTGTGCAACACCCAAATTTCAGGCAAAAACAACTGGGGCAGACTATGGGTGGCCAGTTTTCTGCAAAGGGCATATCTCTATATTATTTGGATGCTTAGGATTGTTTTCAATTTCTGGATGTTCCAGCCTTTTCGGGATTTTGGATCTACAGTAAGTACTGTGCGAATGAAATAGGACGTGTGCACCACTCATCAAATACGTGATAACTTCTGCAGTTAGAGGATGTCACACCTGATAAAGCCAACCCATCAATTAAATCTGTGGGTTTGTTTCAAAATTGGTTCAAAGAGATACCAGGGTTGGACTTTGAGCCAAAAACCATCAAGGTCTATGTGTAACCAACTCTTTCACATCTTTCCGAACCAACCTACTTTTCACGAATGGCAAATAGGGATCCCCCGATTTATACAGCACTGTAACTGTTTCATTTACCATCTGGTTATTTAACATAGCCATGGAAAATTGCCCATTTATAGATGGTTTACCTGAGTTTACCTATTAAAAATGGTGATTTTCCATGGCTATGTTAAATAACCAGAGGGTAATAGGAAAAATGATGAGAAACCACGGGGTTTTCTCAATGGGCTTCCAGAATTTTCAATCCCCCCCCTTTACCTTCGAGCCACGCTTGACGCCGGCGGTGCCAGGTTGTCAGGCTCACCGGTCGGCCTTCGGCTGAACGCGTCGTTTCGGGGCGGAAAGGCCCCCTTGATCCGTGAGCGCTGCAGGTGAGATCCCCTGAAGTAGCGAGGTCCCAAATGGAAAATGCGGCAGTATCATGTGGCCAAATGGTGGTAATTATATACATGTTATATAGTAAGGGATTTTGAGATGGACTTGTAAACTCACTAGTGATTGCTGGCCGGTTCCTACTAGTAACTGGGATGGTCATCCAGAAACTCTGCGGCTTTCATTCCCGGTAGCTGACGATCAGCGAGCGGCCGATGGCGAAAATCAAATATCGCAAAGAGAACTCCCCATGTTCCACGGGTCGGAGTCGGAGATTCGTTTTAAGACCGTGGATGTTCCACCACTTAAGTGACTTCTGTGACTACTCGATACATATTCGATTCTGGCTAGGATTTCTATGTCTGATGGTGTCCCAGCACTCGCTCAACTAGACAGTTGCGGCAACTCCCGACTGCCGGCACATCCCCGGCACCTTGGGCTTCGGACTTTGAAAGCCCTGGCTGAAAAGGCCGGGTGCCGCTTTAGCCAGGCCATGTAATGCCGGATTCATTCACCGGGCATTGATCCAATTGATCCAATTGTTGATTGGTGGTCTGGCTTGGTTCTTTGGAATCTTGATGTGAAGGATTCTCAGGACCTGGTTGTTGTTTCTGTTTTGTTGTGATCACTGTAATCACCAACTACCAGTCGATGATGAAGCCGGCAAGTGACCCATGCTGATGCCTTCCTGTGCCCAGTCACGGCCTGCATGTTCAGCTGACCTGACAACAGGCTGCAACCAGGTTTCGGGTATATGGGCATGACCACTTCAAAAATAATAGTGACTATATTCTAGATTTTTTAGATATTATAGATCCCCATTAGTTAGTGACTATAGATATTATAGACATTAGTTAGTGACTATAGTTCTAGAGATCATGAAAAAACCGTGGAACATCACGGAACCTCCAACTGACACCAACTGACGCCGGTCCGCGCCTATGGGTCGGGTAGCTTCCCAGCGAAACAAATGGCTCAGGGACCTGCGGCATCCCATGGGATCAACTCCCACAGACCTCCCGTTGTCGTTTCGATGATTGATACGATGTGTTTGTGAATAAAAATGCTAGTACCCTCTGGTTATGTCAAAATAGCTATTGAACATGGCCATAGAAATAGTGGATTTTCCCATGAAAAATGGTGATTTTCCATAGTTATGTTAAATTACCAGAGGGTAAATCACGGAATGTTGTGTACTGTACTGCATCTTTTCAGGAAGCAGATGTCGGACACCTATGGGATCTAAGACCTCCGAAGTCACAGTTTATCCCCCCAAGACCTGCTGATGGCAATATGGTTAAGGGATCGTTTGTGCAGATCCCGCCAGAACCAGCCATAAAATGGTCCCAACCACAACCATGGGAACCACAAGCCGAAGTGTTTGCCAATTATCTCTCTCCATCGTCATCCCTTTATAGTTAGCCAAGTGTCACTATGTTTTTTCTCCTGCACATCAGAATAAAAAGTTCCCATAATTCTGTCCAAACCGACCAAAAGCGCCAAGCAGTAGAAATTCCACGGCCGTCTGTGGGAAGGGTGCCAACTAGGATTTGGCAAATCATATCCAATCACCCGTCCCACAGATTATTAGTCCCACAAATCATAATCATACAAAGTTTATCATAATTTATCATAATTTATCATAATTTATCATGATTCCAATCATACTATATAGACTATTTGTGATTTTTATGGAATCATGATAAATTATGATAAACTACCTGTCAGACCATAGTAGAATAGATTACAATGCAAATGAAAAGGACGTCTGGTGAACCATATAGATTATTATCGTATTAACCTTAACCTATATTTCATCATAATGGATAACCATGTACGGTTTAACCATTTATGATAACAATAATATCTATCACCTTTATCATTTATGATCGCATCTACTTAGATATTGGTGTATGTTTACTGATATGATCCAATCAAAAATATCTACCCTCTGGTAATTTAACATAGCTATTGAAAATGGCACATGTAGTTCGTTGATTTACCTAATGTCGGTAAAACAATGTCATAAACCATCCCCTATCTCACCATTTTTATAGGTGGTATGAATATGGTTACCATTCCCAGTCATGGGTGGTTTATGGCATTGTTTTTCCCACATGATATATACAAATCCCATTAAAATCATCATTCTTGTTGATTAGATACCATTAAACCACCATTTTTTGTTGATTACCCTCTGGTAAACTAACATAACTATTGAAAATCACCATTTTTCATGGGAAAATCCACTATAAATGGCCATTTTCAATAGCTATTTTGACATAACCAGAGGGTAAAGGTGGTTGATTTTCCATAGCTCTGCTCCCCAGGATTTCGCCAAAACGCTGAGCATTCACCAAGCGATTCCCGTCGATGGCTTCCAGCATCGCCAGGACCTGCGGATCTCTCTCCATCTGTGAATGATAGGTTTAGTAAAGATAGTCATGGGATATTCATGGGATATTCATGGTGTAATATGGATTTTAGTATGTATGTGTATATATATATATATCAGGATATATCAGGTATGTTTATATAATTAGATTCGATGATTTTATGGGATCTTTTTCTGTCAAACAACATGGTGAATTCGACTTACTTACGTCGGGAGGTTTTCTGCCAATGCTGTTTCTTTTGAAATGTTTTTGTGTAGCCAACAACAAGAAACTTGGAGATTTCACACAACGAACGATTTCATCCATGTCCCTAGGGGTCTTCTGGCAATGCTCGATGCATCCTCCAGCAACCTAAGCCGATGGAGAATCACCAGTATAAATTATCAAAATAATTGGATCAATATATACCCACTGGTAAACTAACATAGCTATTGAAAATGGCACCTTTATAGTTGATGTACCTATTTAAAATGGTGATTTTCCATAGCTATAGGCTGTGTTAGTTTACCAGAGGGTACATCAATATACGATCTACAAATGGTTGATGATTGCCATGCTGGTTTTTATACCAGAAATCTGCTACCCAAGTTGGCTCAAGCCATATGTGACACTTTCCAACACCCCACCGCCCCATTCTTCGTTTTCGTCATCCACTGCGCAGGCTGAGCACAGCTCCAGAACCTTCGCTAACCTCCCAGAACTCAGTCTACTGGTAGACTCTACTCCCATCATCCATCATCACAAGATGTTGGAACAACGAGGCTTCCAGAAGCCTCTTGGTTGGAGTACCCTCTGGTAAATTAACAGTTCGACCCTGGCAGTCATCGGGGTTGGTTCAGACAATCGTTTAACCATTCAAAATGGGTGATAAAATCAGGGTCCAACTGTTAATTTACCAGTGGGTAAATCTCCATTAAACACCATTAAGCACCATTAAACCACCATCAACCACCATAAACCAACCAGTGGGTATTTGTCCAGAAGCCTCAGCTTCGAGCACTGAACCGAAGCCTCACTCCGACCCCAGGACTGCGCTCAACACCGCCGCAATGTCCTGCAACCTCGGCGGATCGTCCATGATCGTCCTACGTCACATTGGTGACCCCCAAGAAGTACCCCCAAATCCGGGGTTTCAGGAACTACCCATTTCAAGATGTTCTATATACAATAAACAGGCAGGATATCATGTATAAAATACCACTGACCATGGGACCCCAAGATTATATAAGATGAAGAGATTCAAATATACTAAACTTACTAAACCAGTGTTTCGGTGGGGGTCTGGATCAACATCCAGGGTGTTAAGATGAAGAGATTCGAAACCAGCAGCTCCCTTTTAAATCGTTGATGTAATTTTACCAGAAATGGACAGAGGTGGTCACTATAGTCAGTAAAAATTACCCATGATGGATCTGTGGCTTGGGGTGCTTTCAGCTTGTACGCATGAGCATTCCATATACCATTCAATCATATTCAACCATCGCTTCATTGTCAGTCCCAGACTTGCCTCACCCTCACCCTCCCAAAGCTTTCACTTTAACTGCATCACCTTTACCGCCGTTGCGGTGGCAGAAACACTCCAAAAAACAACTGGTTGGTGGTTTGAACCCCTCTGAAAAATATGAAAGTCAGTTGGGATGATGAATGTTCCCCAATATATATATATATATATGGAAAAATAAAAAATGTTCCAAACCACCAACCAGACAAGGTATCTCATGATGACATGGATTCTCAAGGTATCCTGAGATTTCACATCGGCTCCCTGAGATCCAAAACCAGGCACTCTTCAGCACAGGCGGAGTGTGGCATGCCGGCATAGGACTTGAAGCTGGGCTTCAGCCCTTTGGCCTCAGTCAGTAAGTTTGCAGCTCAACATGGCTACATAGTCATCAGAAACATTGGAAAAATTGGAAAAATCCGGAAAATAGAATGACAAGAGTAGTACTAAAGTAGTGCAGTAGGACTCATCATGGCTCATGGGTTCCCTCAAATTCAGATTGAAGCCGGGCCTCAAGTTCCTTGAAGCTTCGTTGACCCCAAGAAATGGGCACCACCTGATCTGCCTGACGAGACAGTGCAAGTCCCCAATGTCACAGAACTTTTTAATGGAATGATTCAGAATAGCTGAAGATTAAGGTTGAAACATGATGAAATCATGGATTGTACTACCCCCGCGAGTATTAAAGGATATTAAAGGGTTCCTGTCAGTTTTCCCTCTCCATGCTGGGAAATGTCAGGACACACCGAGAAGAAAGGTCCGAAAAAATGTTATGAATATGAATCTGTGTCTTTCGTTGGGGGGAAACTGGCCCTCTGAATTCCCTTAACCTCTGGTCAACAACAATGGCTGGACCGCACCGGTGAAGGATAATAAAACTTAATGACCGCTTGACAACTTAATTTCCAGCTGTGATGTTTGTTTGCTAGAGGGCATGACCCTTTTGAAATCCCCAAGCCCATTTTTTGTGCCTCAATCATGCTAAATCCGAATTGTTCCATAGCTCCCTCCCATATCTGACCCCTAAATGATTTTTGATGACTAATTATATGTCTAAATCCAAACTTTCTACGGATTCATCCAGAAGTCTGATTCATGTATAGTTTTTGATGGCTGAATTCACATGTTGATGACTATATCACTAATTAAATCCCAAGTGCACTTTTTGTTGATTGTCCAACCCCTTTCTGTTCATGTTTAAATCCTCATTTCTGATGATTGCATCAATAATGTTTACTGTATTGACTACTTTATTTGTGTAATCTCACTTGACCATTGCGATTTCTGTTGGCTGTTGCCTTCTGGCTATTTCACAATGTTATTAAATGTTATGGAAAATAATTCAGAGATGATTTATGATAATTTACCTGTCAAACATGATGGTTGTTCAATTCGCTACGGTGAAAAAAAACTGAGTGTACCAATCATATACCCTATTGAATGATAGTAAATCCATGTAAATTCCCATTCAACTCCATTAAACACCAGGGGAAAATCCCTATGTTCATGGTCATTTTGATAGCCAAGTCCTTTCCAACCTTCCCTGGCACCTCGCCATGGAAGAAGTGCACAATTGTGGCCGGCAGCGCTGCCGGCAGCCGGCTGCCCACGAAGGAACTGAGCACCAGAACAGCTCCGCAGGCCTCAAAAAGGCTGCTGCCAAGGACCATCTTACCTACAAATCAAGGGGAAAAAGCAGAAAAACTGGTTTTTGGGCTGGGTAACGTTCAAAAATTCTTTCGGGAACAAAGATTGTTCCACACATGTGCAATCGCAAAATATGAAGCCACATTCTCTTGTCCAACAGTGGTTGCACCAGCTGCACGTCTGAACTTCTGTCAAGCATTGGCTTCCGAAAGAAGGCATTCAGATCATCCAGAGGAATCACTTCTGGGTCATTGATCCCCTGGCTTGTGTTGCTTACATTCCCCTCATCCCAAATAGTGATCCAGCCCCTTCGAACATGCTCCCCCCTATCATCCCCTTTCATCTTGGTTTTTATATCATCACCTTCGAATTAAATGAATCTTTTCATATCTTTTCCATTTTTCTGATTGGCCTCATCTTATTTCAGATATATATCATATTACATAAAAATTATATCCATTTTTTTCATACATTTTCCCCCAAAAAAATTACACCCGCCCCCACACAGTTCCCAAGGCCCCACCTCAGAGTCCTGACCCAGCGCGGCTTCCAGCACCACAGCGCCCCCCTGCGAGAAGCCCACGAGCACCACGCGTTCAGAGCTGATCCCCACGTCCAGCTCCTCCTGGCCAATGGAAAGGTGAAAGGAACCATCGGGCCAATGTTCTTATCAAAAACCTGCAGTGAGTAGTAGACTAGTAGACATACACACACACATATATATATATATATGTGTATATATATATATATACATATGTATATATATATATATATATGTATATATATATATAAAGAAACCATGATTACCTGAAGTGGAACCCCAAACATGGCTCTTATAATGACTTGCAATGTGTACCTTGTGTGATGTTGAAAGCCAACTTTGTGCAAATTTGGTGTCTTTGCCACACGAATCAGTGAGCAACTGGTGTGGTCATGAGCAATTGAGAGCGCCTGAGGGCCGTTTGGTACGCCAAGTGTCATATTATAAATATGTATATATATATAATATATATATATATATATATTTATTTATCTATATTTATATTTATTTATATGTATCGGTTGTTCAATGGGGCCCCCTCTGCTGATCAACCAAACGGAAAAGAAATGCCCCTAGCCAAAGGAGACCCAGCTGGCAACGGCGTCCTTCATTAGGCTTCGCACGTACTCAGCACTCTCCTGGGAGACCGTTCTTCCCACTTGGGTTTTGACAGGACTCGGGTTCTAAACTGCCTACGTTTGATCAACCTCAACTCCGGCATCAGCTCTTCGGCAGAGTTGATATGCCACATGCAACTGAAATTCAGCCAAATCATATCACATATCACATTCAGGTGCATCCATTTAAATCCATTTGCATCTATATATGTGGTCTCATAAATTGAACAAACGGAAAAAGTTCACCGGTTCCTCACTATCTCCATGAAATGATACTAAGTTGGCGATACATTCCCACCCTCTTGAGACAAACTCGTGGATGACCATTCGCCCATCACCCGGAATTCCTTTCTGGTGACCTCACGGTGCGATCGCTATATGTCTTACCGTGCGATCAACCTATGAATTTTCATCGAAACATCAATTTTGGTGGACTAAACTCTCCATGTAACGGGTGCAAACAATTTATAGCCATATATAACCTGGATTGCACATGATTAAACCACTAATTATATACATATGGTGGGTGACCCCCTCTGTTCTGTCTTGGTGGGTTTGACCCCATCAATCCCCCCATCCATATCAATCTATCAGAGTAGTTGGCCGAATCCATCAACCCATCAACCCGCAGACTCCGCACCTTCAAACCTTTGGGGTTCAGCTTAAAGAGCTCCGGCTCCAAGGAATTGATGTCAAACCAACTGGGCATAGAGATACCCATGTTCACCGTCACGGGCCTAAGCGAATAGCGCCAGCTTTTTTGTAATTGATGATCTGGAAATATCATGAAATATCTGGAAAATGATGGTACAGAAAAATGATGAAAAATGTTGGTTTTATGAGCTGCTCTTCTTGAAATGATGTTTGGAAAACATGTTTCTTTCAGGACTTTGGGAGATGAGTTCTTGGTCCTCAATTTTGACGTCCTCAAAATCTCAGTGAGGACATGGCAGACAAAAAAAGGGAACCCAACAGGCAGTGCTGACTACACTTGGATAACTCATTGCTGGTTGACCTACCCCCCTGAAAAATGATGGAGTTCGTCAGATTGGATCATCATCCCAACGATTGGGGAAAATAAAAAGATGTTCCAAACCACCAACCAAATAATCATCATATTCCTGTTGTTGTTGGTTTATAGCCTATTAACCACTATTAACCATCACTATTAACCACTAGTAAATCACTATGAATCCCATATATAGGTCAACTATGGTCAACTTACCAATGGAGGGGCCCTTCGTTTTCCAGATGCGCGCACTCTTCAGTCTCACGACATTCATGGACATTCCAAGCAGCTGTGTGGGTGCGGTGGGAAACAGAAATCGGACCTCATCATCACCGTCACGGAGACGGGATAGCCCGAGAATTGAGTGTGGAATCGTAGGGGGGTGTCATTATCATCAACTGGTTGGTGGTTGACCTACCCCTCTGAAAAATGATGGACTTCGTCAGTTGGGATGATGACATTTCCAACTGAATGGAAAAATAAAAGTCATGTTCCAAACCACCAACCAGTCAATATTTGGCCCACCTAAATTGCAATATATTGGGGCATTGCCCATTTCTGGACAACATCGAAGGAACATGAAAGAACAGAAAGAACATGAGCAGCCCGAGTTCTCAGGTCCAGAAACTATGCTGAGTTCGACGACGACCCAAGGATACCCAAAGCTTTACCTCTTCAATATTCTTCGTATTAGGTAGAGTCAGGAAGTAATCAAATGCGTTGGGCAGGACAATCCACTCCCCGGATCATATGAAATTCATCCCCATAAACGGGCCCAGAACATCCAGAAAGAGAGATCCAAGATATACATTCTACCAGGCATTTAATTGGGGGGCACTGTGTGACATTCAGGGAAGGGGCACTCTGAAATCAGGCCTGATTTTTATGGATATCAATGGGCCCATGGTACAGTGCCCGCTCAAAGCATCGGCTCTGCGAAACTTCCGATATGGAACATGAGCTGGTGGATGACATGATGGCTGGATGGCTCCCCAAAATTTCGGAGACATAACTGACATAACTGTACCAATCTGGGGATGGTTCTATTTGATTTAGCAATTTAGCCTCAAAAAATCAGAAACGTTACTGGGGCCCCAACCTGGCACCAGGCGGCACCAGGCCCCCATGGCAGCCAAGCTGCAAAGGGTAGCTTCATCTGCAGTTGTGGCCCCACATCCATCCAGCCTTCGCCCGTATCCCCAAGGCCATGGAGCCAGATCACTGTGGCACTGTGTCGTGCCTGTGGCTCCTTGGAACGGTCCAGGGGTCAGTGGAGTGCCTCAACAGAATGGGGCCCATGGCTGGGGTAATTTCGTCCTTACATGTTCTTACCGGGGAAAACAAGTGTCCTTTTTTGGCATTTAAAGTTCGGCGGCGTCTTGCGAACGTTCTTGAAACTTCAATTTATTCTGACACCGGAAGAATCGGAATGAGTTCATGAGTTCCTCCGAGCTGGGTCTCCCTGCCCGAGCTGGGTCAAGTTCATCCCAAGTGGGGTTTCTAACAACAAATACCGCGGGATATTCCAGGTCCATCCAGGTCCTGCCCGTGATCCCATGAGGATTCTGACCATCCCTGAGCGACGACAAAAACATTTGGGTAGCAGCACCCCTCTGGTGTTCTAACATGTCAGTGATTATTTCAATATTTGAAAGGGTGAAAACATTCCATCCGCGGATTACTCATGGTTTTCCCATAGAAATTACCTTTTTTGGGGGTATACTAGCTATTTTCAGGCAAACCCACATCTCCAAGCCAAACTCCATTCCCAACAAATCTCCACAGGGCATGCCATTGGCGGTCACCAAGCATCAACCACCACCAACCCGTCACCGCTTTGTCGAGCACGGAGGGATGTCCTTCCGAATGGGAAATCGCTGATTATGTTGGACTGCTGGAAACCGGCTGAACCAAACATGTACGTTGCCTGTACGCAGGTTCTAATGGTTCTATGCATAATATATGTGTACATGTGCTATAATTAAATGCATACAATGCGACTATAGACTATAGATGCATGCATGCAGTTATGTGCTATATAAACCTGCACATCGTAGATGAGCCCATGCAAACTGCACATTCTGTTGCGAATCTTCACCTCCAGTACCAGCTCGGGCCACACCTCTTCGACTGTTTGGCGCTTTGCGTGGCTGCATGATGTCCCTGCGGCAGAAGAGAGCCAGAAATATATAAAGACCCGTGCCATGACTCAACTAACTCCAACGATAGTAGATATATCTAGAGATAGCTGGAGTTAACAACTGTTAATGGGGGTTATCAACCAACTTCTACCTGGAGGGCCCCACCTTAGGATTCCAAAGCTTCATTTTTGGAGCTAATAGTCGCATCCAAAAAAGGAATTCTTGAACAAATCCCCCCTCTCGGCAACTGGAAATCCACAATGATGAATGTTATTAGCTGGGAAAATCAACTTTAAATATGGTTACAAATGGGTGATGTTCTATTGCCACGTTTGATTACCGATGGCCAAATCCTTCATCTCTACGCAAATCTGCAGGCTGTGCCCAGTCACCACGAAACTTTGCGTGCTTCTCATCAGCGCCTGAAAGATACCGAAGCCACCAGTGGTTGACCAATGGATATAGCAACCAGGGGAATTTAGGGCTGAAACACTGGAGCAACCAGGGAATATAGGCTATACAAGTAGGGATTGAGCAAGTTGGGAAACTTCGACATTTTGAGGTGAAGATCATCTCTAGTGTCCGGAAAGAACATGCTGTATCTATTTGGGGGTCCATGCGTAAGCCAACACGAATGGCGATATGGATAGCCAACCAGATGCCAACCAGATGCCAACCAGATGCCAACCAGATGCCAACCAGATGCCAACCAGGCAACCAAATAGTAAAACCATTAGTCTCTTGATGCAGTCTATCTTCACAAGCGGCGGATACTCCAACCAGCTTCTAAGATGAACCGTGAAAAGGTAGATTTGGGGCACCAGTTTTGGACAAGAGCATGCTTGCCAGTAGGATATCACTTGGCAAGCCCAATCAACACACCATCCAACTAACAACTAAGTATTCAATCATCAAGGTTAAAAAAAAAAAACTGTGCTAGGGGCATACCCAATGTCAACACCCAATTGGGGATGGTATCCACGCTATAGACAGTAGCTGAGGACGAAGGTTTTCTTTAATGGCCGTTCTATGAGTCCTAGCCTTGAAAAGGGACACTTCTGTGAACATGTTTGATGTGGAATAATGGCATTTATATCATAGGGATTTGATTTACTGGGAATCAACGGGGAATCTGTGGAATTTATGGGGAAATCATGGTTTCTCAAATCCCTGAAGCCATGGAGGTCTCTAGTTGGTAAAATCGTCGACGTTGGGGATTTTCCAGCTCCGTTTGATTAAAGAGTCAGCAAGACCTCATGCTGGTCATTGTTACCCTCTGGTAAACTAACATAACTATGGTAAATCACCATGTTTAGTGGGAACATCAATTATAAATTGCCATTTTCAATAGTTATGTAACAAATTACCAGAGGGTAATTTAATAAATAAGCCCCCCTTCAGTCATCCAAGTTCGACCCAGTCTGCTGATGATACTGATGCTCCCAATAAATCCAAAAAATATCATCCCAAAGTGGTTACCAGGGGTTTCACATGGCTTTGTCTGAACCCAAGATGGAGAAAATCATGGATTAACCAGAGGATTTTTCCATAGTTCCCACCTGCAAGGAGGTCATGGTGAAGACCATTGTGGCAAGGGCCGCTACGGCAGATCTGCAGGGTCCTGGCAGTTCGAAGATCTTCACCACCAAAATATGGTGGAAGAAAACAAACAAACATACGTAGGTTATTCTCTCTTGATAATTAATAATTCCACCAGCTAAGGCCAACAATTGAGGATACTTCCCGCAATCCTGACCATCATTTACAATGATGTCGCAGTGAGGTCGCTGATAATTGTTCATATTTTTATTGGGGTTAGCTTCACCAACCAAGCTGGGATTGAAAGCAACAAAACAAATGATTTTTTTGGATCTAAAACTGACTAAAAATGGTGCACGCGCTTGCGTGGCTAAATGAAAACATCGTCAAATCGTGACACGACAAATAAAAGGGGGTCACCACCACCGAAAGAAGGAATCTGCAAATGGCAACAAAGTGCAACTAAGGGGCATATGCCTTAAAATGAGCTTTAAGTACCCACTAGCTGAGTAGTTTCCCATGCTTAGGCTTAAAGACGATATGGGCCATGTAGAAAACCACCTTGAAGATCCCATCGGTCTTGATCTTGCCCGAAATATCAACTCCCCAAAGGGAAACCATGGCGTAGTATTGGATTTAGTCATTTTGGGATCCCATTGTCAGCGCTATTTGATATGATATACATATTCATATAATATATACTGTATACATATATATATATATATGTTATTATATATGTATGCTATTGATATTGGCTGTTGACCCACACACACACACATAATAAGTATGTGTATATATATATTACGTATCTGCATTGTATAAATATGTTAATTAATTATTATATAATTAATTAATTAAAAATATACATAATCATATATATATACATCTCTCTGCGTGTTGGTATCCCCATTTGAATGTGCCTAAACCACCCCAAACTTATGTGGAAAAACCCACGCGAGCCGCCTGGGCGATTGCAACACATCCTGGTGCCGGTTGCTGCGGTTGCTGAAGGTTTGGTTCCGTGGCGGAACAACCAACCGGGGTATGGTAAAATGGTGGCAAAATGATGGTAAAATGATGGGTATTTGGCTTCAATGGGGGACCCTTCTATCAACCAGTGGGAGAAGATGTGAAAAAGACATCCATGAGTTCATATGAGTTCATTACAATTATGTATGCAAATCAGGTATGTTTTAATAATTTCATGCAAACCCCCCGAACTAACATCAACTAACATTAGAGCCTTCCATGAGTCGGGGAAAACGACTCTGATTCTCGAGGTGCTAGAGGGGATGGTACAGGCATGAGGGCCCCCTTCACTTTCATTCACGTTCTATGGCTGGAAATTCTTTGGGGGCAATGGTCCGATTTTCATCAACAAGAAAGGGCGATGTACCCTCTGGTAATTTAACGTAGCTATTGAAAATGACCATTAATAGTGGATTTTCCCATTAAAAATTGGGATTTTCAATAGCTATGTTAAATTACCAGAGGGTACAGTAATCAACAAAAACAAGCATAGCCATAGCCAATGATGTCCCACACTTTTTAGCACCAAAATTCAGCCATCAAGGTCTTCACCTACCCCCAAAAAATGGCGCGTACCCCCCGTACCTGGCGCCTAATGGTCTCCCGAAAAGCCATGCGAGGCTGCGTTTTCTGGGTTCCAATCCAGGGGAAATTGGCTGTGGATCAGAAACTGGCTGGAAGGCTTTGGGAAAGTTGGGACTTTCCGGGTTTTCTTGTCATCCGCAGGAAGGTGATGGTGATGTCTGGACCTTGAGGACGTCATGATGTCTGTCTTGTGGCTAGAAATGTCGGCATGGTCAGGCGCAAAGTCTCAGGTCGATGGCTAGCCATTTCGCTGCTCAAAAAAACCACTTCGCAACCAATGGCTGCAAGCGCTGTGCGTATGAAGCTGCACATGTACAGTGGCACCAGTCACTCATGCCTATGCCTATTGATGTCTATTGATTGTAAACTGATTTCCCGATTCAAACACGCTGTTTGCAGCTACAGAAACAGAAACCAAAAGTCAAGCCGCCTACCAAGTTCCAAACCCATTGCATCCCAATTCTGGTGAATTTATATGGTTTGTGCCAATATGAGCCAATTTGCTTCTGTCCATGCCCCGGGTCTGACTTATAAATACATACTTACTAATACATATTATAATATCAAATAATCTATGATTTCCCTCTGGCAGGGGACCCGTGGCCTGCGCGGCCAAGTCGCTGGTGGGCGTCAAGACGATCCAGGGACGGCTGCCTGACGGGGCACGGAACGCTGTGGTGCTGGGGACTTTTTTGGGGGAGGTTTATCATCGATGTATTTATCGATTTGCATTTAAAAATAATAACATGGTAGTTTTTTTTATCCATGGAGAACTGCGAGTACTAATGTTTGATGTTCATTCAATGTATTTAATACGTGTTTCATCTATTTTCTTTGTCTAATTTGTTTTAAGATTTAGTGTTCTATCTGTATCAGTTATTATCTGTGCCTGTGCTGGTTGGTTTAGCATGATCTTTTTGAACAGCGCTCCATCTACACCCACTGAATTCCATTGATCTAGACTCTACACTCATGGATCATGTTCCCCTCAACTGGGGAATTCTCCAGATTTCCCCCCCCTTCCGGTCCAAGGGGCGCTGCAAGGGGTTGGGCGCATCCGGATCCTCTCGCGCCGCCCTTTTGGCTCGCTCCTGAGTTCGAGTCATGGCGAAAATCATCAGACTTTGGGTGGGGATCAAAAAGTTGGAAAATCCCGATGGCTTACAGATTAGACCCTTTTTCTTGCTGGCCGAACTACCATGTTTATTCATTTTTGCTCCTTGGAACCGACCAGTTTCAGGAAGCATGAGCGGAAACAATTTCTGATATTCTCTGATCTGGACATGGCTGTTGGAACAAATATACATTCTGAGCTACAGAAGTGTTGCCAGCATTCCTACTGACGGGATTCAGTGCTTCATCAGCGCCAAAGAACCATCAAAATCAATGGGTAATTCTTTGCCAGCTCGCGGAGAAGTAACTGCAAGCAGAGGGAGCCTACACGTGTCCAAATCGGTAGTTCAGAAACAAACAACGGGACTCAACCTGCAAAAAATGGTTTTGACCCACCAACATGGAACTTAACCAAAAAAAAATATGGTTGATCTTGCACTATTGCTTCAAATCGAGTAGCTGAAGCAGCCAACCTTCCAAAATCTTCCCAACCTCCCAACAACTGCCGCCCTGCTGCCCATCTCAGGCTTGCACATGCAAATGGTAGATGCGATTAACCAAGGGTAGCAAATAAGCCTGGAGAACGGGTGTGAATCATTTTATAAGCTATAGGGTAGGGTTTTTGAAACAAGCATCAACCAACAATGATGGCAAAAACTCACACCAACCTTAAGTTCCCATTATAGATGTATACACAAGGATGTTATGCACCCCTACCAGTACATTTACAATCCTTTGTATATATATAATATATATCTCTCTCTCTCTCTCTCGCTCTCCCCATCGCCATCTCAACTCTCTCCCCATCGCCATCGCAACGTATGTATATATAATTACACACACACACGTGTGTGCGTGTTTATTTATATAACTGTGAAATGTGAAACATGTTTTTCCTATCGAACCATGGGCACCATGGAAACCGTTCCAAAGTCAGCTGCAGTCACATTCCCCATGGATCCGAGGGGCTAAGGTCTTGCCGGAGCCCGTCTCAGCGCCTAACGGGAAGGTTTCACCAACCCATGTGTGGTTTTCCAATGGGTTTGCTTAACAAAACCATTATTTTTGTGTAAGAACAAACATGCATAATATGGATCTACATACGCAGACATATGTGTACATATATATATTACGTAAGCATACATATAGATATGTGATATGTATATATATACAGATAGATTTATATATATATGTATATTACATGCATATATATATATAATGTTCCAAGTAGATTCTCCGTTTCAGATGGGCTCACCAGTGGAATAATCCAAACTAATCATCTTCAGCGAACCCTGGGGTGTTCGATGTGGAAAACCCACCATATTCGTAGATCATAATTTTCTCAGAGAGACCACGGCTTTTCCACATCTATGTTACCCTCTGGTAAACGTTTACATAACTATGGAAAATCACCATGTTTAGTGGGAAAATCCACTATGTTTATGGTTATTTTCAATAGCTATTTTGACATAACCAGAGGGTAGGTTATCTCATGAGATCTTCCGAGATCTTCCATGAGCATTCCTGGACCAAGAAATTCCATCAGCGTACGACCACTGGGAGTCACACGAATGATCACGTCCCTGCCGCGCACGATGGGTGCAAAAGCCTGGTGCACCAGCGGTGATTTCAGGAAATGTTCTCCAGCAAAAACAGGTTTTAATGAGGAATCAAGGCAAAACAGGGGAGGTAATGAACTTTTTTTGAGCAAGAACATTTGGCGCTTTACTCAAGAAAACTTGTGGAGTTTGACAATGTGAACCCAGCTGGTATCTAGACTATATATATATAATTATATAGCCCATATTATCCCACGATCCCATACTATTTATATCTCCCGTGCCTTTGATCTATGAACTGGGATACACCTCCAAGTAATTAGGCATGGAGAAGCTAAATTCACCAGCCAGTAGTGGGATGTACATGGATAGTTTAGCCTAAAAGGTCAGCAACCCGGAATTACATATAGGGACCCACAAAAGATCAAAACAACAGGATGCTCTAGATGACGTCCACCCGCTACTTCTTAGGTGTCCGCTTGTTCCAAGCATTTTGAGCTTAGTATGAATTGAAGTTGGGCAAGCGGTTCTTCCAACATAGGTCTGCAGCAAAATGAAAATAAGTCTGGCGTCTGGCTATGGTCATGGAGAATCCTTGGGTACTAGCAAACTCACAACCGGATTTCTGAACGCCAAGGGCAGTCTTCCCAGCAGCGCTGCTCAACGAGGCGTACCTCTGCTTGAACCTGGGAGCCAATGGGAGCCATGTCACAGAGGGACACCTCCGTGGATCATGAAAGATTGCAGTACCCTCTGGTTATGTCAAAATAGCTATTGAAAATGACCATAGAAATAGTGGATTTTCCCATTAAACATGGTGATTTTCCATAGTTATGTAAACGTTTACCAGAGGCTACTCGATTCAATGTTGGGAGAAGAGTGGCTTGAACAGTGAGAGACATCCAGCTGAATGATCTTATCATGAATCTGATCCTTCTTATCTATATGGGGATGGGTCAAAACCTTGGTACCTAGTGAACCCCAAAATAGCTGGTAAATGGATGTTCATCCCACTATAGTAATGTATCTATAGGTATTGACCCATACCCATATTTTGCTGAAAACCATCAGGCGGGTTACTAGTCACCAGTCCCGGATTACCCATGTGTTAAACCTAGCAGGAAACATTCAAAGACACGACCATGGCTGGGGATGAATCGTGGATTGTCATCCATATAGATCCATTTTTTCATCACCTGGCCGTTGATGCTAGTAGTTTTCCCATTGTTTGTTGTAGAACGTATGGTTGTCCGAGTTGCTTCAGAAAATTTCCCCAACCTCAAACATCTCAAAGCAAGTCGTGTTCTGGTGTTTCCCCTACCTAAATGGTCCGAAATATCGGATGTCATCCCCTACTAAATCATGGCTTCTGGGAGGTGTTTCCGTTTAAAGTTTAACCACATGTTAGACACAAAGTAAACAATCAGTAAAGCATATAACCACCACTGTTACGGGATACTAGACCATATTAGTATATGTTAAATTATGTTAATAATATGAATAAACCAGAAAAATTCTAGCATGTTTTCTAGTGATTACCATTATCGTGATGGTTTAATAAGCCATAATTAATTAACTTACTGGTGCTTAGTAGGGAATGGATGGGTTGCTGTTTTTTTTGTGATGAATATTACTAGTGATGGATTGGATCATTCCCGAAAATTCCCTGCGTGGTTTACGCACCAGTAAGTTAAACATAGTTAAACCATATGAATTTCGAGTGATTACCATCACCTCATCAACTCATCCGTTCAACGGTGACCTCCCAGGTGCCCCGAACCACAGTGGGCCGCAGCACATCCTGCGCTTCCAGCGAGGTGACCTGGGAGATCTGGGAGATCCGGGCTGGCAATGGAAATCCCCAAGGTTTAGGAAGACAACATGCAGCTTCTGTCGAACATCTGGGAAAATCACCTGGAAATCACAGGATTTCATGTGACTTGATCATACTTGATCAGCCTTTTCGACGTTTTTCAATGAAATGACATGGAGAATTCCAACTTCAGTGAGAAAATCCATGGAAATCCGGATGTCGAACTGGAGAAAATCACCCGTTTTCATTGGACGCCGCTCCGTTCAGGTGACGAGGGCAGGGTGGATCCCCAGCTCTTCGAAGCTCCGGTTGGCCCAAAGCCCATCGTAGCCTGAGTCATGGACCACCAGGTTCATTGAGGGGTACCAATCTCAAGAGGCACTGTGCTTTATCATGATTTGTCATTGATTTGTCATTGATTTATCATGATTTATCATGATTTATCATGATTTATCACATCCTGCCCTCTACACCCCGCTTAGCAAGGGTACTATTGTGGTTATTTGTTGTATTTTGTTGTCAACACTTCGGATTTGTGGGATTTGTGGAGACAGCCAGTCTAGTCAATCTGCAGAAATCATGAGCCCCTAGGCTTCGGACTGCGGCCGCCTGGCAACCTCGGGATGATGCTAGAAAATGCTAGATCCAAACCTCCTTTGCACAACCACGTTAAGCCTCTTTACATCGCGAGAAAGCAAGCAATTTGCACAGAATATAGAAAAATAAGCACAAATAGGTAGAGAGGTAGAGATGAAAACAAATAATAATTACTGCAAAGAGAGAGAAAGAGAGAGAGAGAGCCTTTGGAAAGGCTAAGGACAGCAACTTGAAACGAGAGTGAAGGCACCAAATGAACTCCCTTCTAGTACCTGCAGGTGTTGAAGGTCTAGAAGGAGAAAAATTGGAGTTCGATGGATAATAAAAAACGACAAAAACACATGTTTTAAACTCTCTCTCCATCACCCCCCTCAGGGAGTTCAGCATCTACATGTTTTAAACTGACATTCCCATTTTCCCTTTAAACCACAAGAAAACATCATCCAATCAGAATTCTCTGAGCATCCTGGATCCTGGATCTCACGCCTTTTTGGGCCATTGATTGCGTGGAGCGCCCCTCACTGTCCTGGCCCACGGTCTTCGCGGTCTTCGCGTCATGCTGCCGGGATCTGCCGGGGACCGTTCTCGAAGTGCGAGAGAAACCGTGTGGAAGTGGCTTAGCTGAAGGAAAAACCGAGAGCATCTATCTATCACTCATCTATCTATATAGCATGGAACTCCCGAATTGGCAATGGTCAATAGGGAAAGAATATGAAAACACAATCTTTTCAGGGTCCCATGTTACTTTTCACAGGGCCATTAGGATTGCAAATGATTGCAATTAAGCGCCCTTGTTTCAGAGACTTTCAGAATCGTGAAGAATGCACTGCGGAGTATACCATGGTCCATGGTCCTCATCAATTTGGACGGGAGTCAGGTAAACATAAGTAAACGCGAGTAAACGATCATTTTTTCCAAGTTTGTGTTTTGATTTCTCTGGGAAACTTCGAGGGCGGCAACCTGCAGTCACTCGTAAATATTAGCAAGTCCCCCTGTTTGTTGAGGACAAATTCATGTTGACCCGGTCGGTTGGAGGCGCGCTTTGGCTGACATTATTTTGGATCTAGTTTTCTTGCTGTCATTTTATTTTTTGTTCTGGTTGATGGTTCATCGTTCGAACCTATCCCAAACATAGGTGTCAACCAGGATCGTCATTCTAACAAAATGAAAAACCCGAACCAGATAAGCCACCAATTGTGCACAACCTGGCGATCCACTTCTAAACAGACTTCCTCCTCCCCGAATGGGCCACGCAAACAGCATGCTGAATTCAGATTCGTCGGAGAGGGACCTGGATTTTGTTCCCGTCATGGGTCGGTCGGGTGTCCCAACGGTTTGGGGACATCAACCATTCACTATCGTCGGACTCTAACGTGTGAGAGCCCAAAAACATCCGAAACAGCCCGCGGCTCGTGGACCTTGCAATTTGAGAGGTGCCAAACAAGGTTTTTTCATCTTTAAAACTGCGCGACTTCAATTTCAGGACAAAATTTCTGAAATGGGTTAAAACATGTTAAAACAATTGATCAGAATTGCTGCGGGCTGTATGGGTTGCAAACTTTGGCACCCACCTACACGCTACACATAAGACCTCCCAAGAGCAAGATCAGACCTCAGCAGGGGCGTTCCGTGGGCATCACCATGGGGCCCAAGGGAGTCAGAAAAACCGCCTCAGGAGAAGAGAAGAAAAAAATCAATCTGTTGTATGAATGGACTTGGACAAGAGGTCGGCCGCCCTTGTTTGCCTCAGGAAGCAAGATGGTCTGTTTGGTCGTGGTGCCACTGTGGTCTCGCGGAGCAATTCGTGAAACCGGGCAAAATGCCATGCAGCTTTCAAGCTGGACTGCAAAAGTATGGGCTCCAAATTGGGTCCTTCCAACAACGTCCCATCTTGACTCGACCGGTCGAGCTCCTGTATGCTGCTCTGCCTGCTGCCTGAGTTTCCGCAAGCAGTCTCGATCTCACCTGACGGAAGTCCTCCATGTTCATGCGGGAGAAATCTCTCAGTGTCTGGAAAATCTGCAAGATGTGCTCGGCACTCTAGGTTTCCTTGCTGTGAGCCGACGTCGGCGAACTTGAGGCAAAATGAGCATTCCTGATGGTCTTCCTCCATTGCATGTGAGAAGTCTCTTCAATGAGAACTGCGTTTCACTGCGTTTGGTCGTGAGCACGAGCATGTCCACAGAGATCATCTTGACGCCGGCCGGGAACTCGCCGCTATACTGGCGGACCCTGGAGGTACCCAGCGACACGAGGCTCGCGCTGCGCTCCAGCTTTGCGATACACACCGGCCCGAGTTGTAAGGTGAACACATGCACAACGCGGAGTTGGCTTTTTGAGGCCTCGAGCTGAAGGCATGCTTCCTGCACCTTTTTCGTGAGCCAGTTCAGGCGAGGCTGCTCGTATTGGAAGGCCACTCCGTTGCATAGCGATTGCTCGAGCACAGCCAATGACACTGACGCGCCATGGTGAGGTAACCGGCACCGAGGTGTCCAGGATGTCCACGCTTCCGTCTCGCTCTCTCCCAAGCTCTTCCCAAGCTATTTCCCACGGTTTCCCATCCGTCCACGGTGTCCACGCTTCCGTCGCTATTTCCCACGGTTTCCTGTCCGTCCAACAGTGAGGAGTGGGACGTGCTATGACATCAGGGTCCACCTTCACAAAGGGGCAGCCACTGAGCACCCAACTCCACTTGGCCAAATGACGCCTGGCATCAAAGCTGTTGCTCTCTGGTGCCCTTCTGGGTGAAGGATGCTTTACGCACCCCAGCTCCCGAAAAGATCTGCCGCCCGTTTGTTTCACCTTACGATTCTGCCCCTATATGTTTGAACATGTGTTCCCACTTGATTCATCCAAATTGTTACCATCCCGGTTTCAAGCTTCGTGGTGCGTCACATGTTTCTGCTCATGTGTTGTTGGTTTCTTTTTGGGTGGTTGGCCCAATTCTTTGCTTCCTGTTGCTGATTGTTGCACGGGTTTCGCGGATCCCGGCAGATTCAGTGCCTAATTAATGTTTAAACAAACCTGTCAAAACCACTGTTTCCAATTCCTCCCACACCTTTCCAAAATAACAAAAATGGGTTTCCAACATTTTCCCAAATTTTCATCCAAACTATCACCCTCTGCCCATTGGGGCCTCTGAAGACCACCCGTCATCATCAGGCCATCGAAGGTCACGGCGGGGATTTTCTCGTGGAAATCCGGCACCGGAAATCTGCAGCGTCGGAAACTCTTCCCAGGTCGGTGGTTGGTATATCAACTAAGCCCATCCCGAAAAATGATAGAAATGATGATGTTAATGTGTGACTGGTGTAGATTAGAAAATCACTGCTGGGGATCTTACTGTTCTTTCCTTTTTGGGTGACGAGAAAGATGTATCCGTCTTGTCTATCGGTACCCCCCGAGGACCGGACACAACGACGACCGATGGATCGCCTCGGGAGAGAAGCGATCGAAATCAATGGTAGCCTCTGGTATATATAATGTTGATATATATATATATATGTGTGTGTGTGCATGTATGTATGTATGTATGTATGTATGTATGTATGTATGTATGTATGTATGTATGTATGTATGTATGTATGTATGTATGTATGTATGTATGATGTTGTATGTATGTATTAGTATGTATGTATGTATGTATGTATGTAGTATGTTGTATGTATGTATGTATGTATGTATGTATGTATGTATGTATGTATGTATGTATGTATGTATGTATGTATGTATTGGTATGGTATGGTATGGTATGGTATGGTATGGTATGGTATGGTATTGTTATGTTATGTTATGTACTGTACTGTAGTGTAGCGTAGTGTAATGTAATGTAATGTACGCATGTGTGCATATAACCACATATATATATATATACTTAAATATAATTATGCATATAATTTCCATCTGTAATTATAACTCATATAACATGAAACAAGACCATTTTTTGGGATCGCTCCACTTACCATCATGAAACGGTGATGGCGTGAGCTGGAAAAATGGCACCGGCTATGGCTATCTCACCTATCACTGGCTAACGATCATGGCCCCTCACCTCTACAGTCCTAGGATTACATGTGTCGTCAAGCGGCTGAAGACCCTGCAGGAATAGTCGTCGCACAAGAAAACCTTGGTGTCACCAAGTGCAACATGAACTACCCTCTGGTAATCTAAATAACATAGCTGTGGAAAATGGAGAAAAATGTTGTAGCTATAGATGATTATACCTATTAAAAATGGTGGTTTTCCATAGCTATGTTAAATTACCAGAGGGCATCTTGGCCTGCAGGCCAGTCTCTGCCGAATTCGACAAGCGATGGCAAAGCATCACGTGCATGGTGGCAAAATGTACTGATTTCCTGCGGGGGGCATTTAGCTGATGCCGACTGAGTGTTTTCAATCCAAGATGTTGAGGGGATACGCTATTTGATCTGCTCGTAATCCTACTTGGGTGTGCACCCCAGTTGGCATGCTAAACAACAACGGTTTTAATCCACAACTGGGATAACCCAATTGAGGGTTACTATACGTTGCTACTCACTTCGTATCACGTCCAAAGCAGGTCCATTCGCTGTGCACTGAGGCTGGAGCATACCACTCAGTGTTGATCGGGGCCTTTTGCGCGACGATCACGGGGAACTGCCTCAGCAAGCCCGGCCTAGAAATGTACACAGCAAGTGCGAGAATCAAAAAACAGTGAAAAGCAGTGACTAGGGATTTACCAAACAAACAAGATCAAACAAGTGCCTTTGAACTTGAAGAACATTTCGGCATTATTTTTCATATTTTTTCATTATCATTCTCAATGGCATGTTCATCCACGAGATTCCACTCGATTTCCACAGCCACAAATCCTGGCCATGCTTCCATTCGAAGGTCCCCGAAGCCACTGTCGTGGGTTCGATGAAAATCCTCACCTGCCAAGGTGGACAGCAGTTGACCCAATGGACACGTCCATTAGGATCCCTGGGGAAGTTGCTGAAATCAACAAACCTGCAAGAAATCCATGGATTGCGTGCGGAACCCCCCCCCCGCTCCTATCATTTTTGGTGAGCTCGTTGTCACCATCAGGTCACAACGAATTTTCTCCATGAATAGATGTGGATCAGAATGGCGCAGTCTGACAGCCCCTCACGTGGAGTCCACCCCCTCTGCGCACAGATCGCAGGTTGGAGAAGTCTCGCCACTCCCGCTCAATTGCCACCTGATAGAGAAAGAAAGTCTTGAAACTGTATATACTGCGAACAGGATCAAGGCTTATGACACACGCTTCAACGGAGAAAGTTGATTTTAGCAAAATGACTTTACTTCGCGTGATCCCCACCATGACATTTATACATTTTGTTACTGGCAAATCTTCTGGCATTCTATCAGACATATCTTCTGGCATTCTATCTGGCATTCTATGTGGCATATCTTCTGGCATTCTACCTGGCATATCTTCTGGCATATCTTCTGGCATTCTATCTGGCATATCTTCTGGCATATTATCTGGCATATCTTCTGGCATTCTATCTGGCAAACATTCTGGCACTTTATCTGGCATATCTTCTGGCATTCTATCTGACATTTTATCTGGCATTCTATCTGGCATACCTTCTGGCACTTTGTCTGGCATACCTTCTGGCACTCTATCTGGCAAATCTTATGGCACTCTATCTGGCATACCTTCTGGCATTCTATCTGACATTCTATCTGGCATCTCTTCTGGCATTCTATCTGGCCGTTGAGGTCCAGCGGTGCACACTGAGCTGGGCAGGTCCCAGGTTGAGGTCCAGCGGTGCACACTGAGCTGGGAAGGTCCCAGGTTGAGGTCCAGCGGTGCACACTGAGCTGGGAATGTCCCAGGTTGAGGTCCAGCGGTGCACACTGAGCTGGGCAGGTCCCAGGTTGAGGTCCAGCGGTGCCCACTGAACTCGGAAGTTGGCGAAGAGCTTGGCGAAGAGCTTGGCGAAGAGTTGGCAAGGCGGAAGTGAAGGTGGAAGTTGATGTAGACATGGTCGAGGCGGAGGCGGAGGAGGAGGCGGAGGCGGAGGCGGAGGAGGAGGAGGACGAGGAGGAGGAGGAGGAGGAGGACAACAGCTCTGATAAAATCTAACAACCCTCACCTGGCAGGTGGGGAAAACAATCAATTACTTTACTTCGCGTGATCCCCACCATGACATTTATACATTTTGTTACTGGCAAATCTTCTGGCATTCTATCTGACATTTTTTCTGGCATTCTATCTGGCATACTATCTTCTGGCATTCTATCTGGCATATGTTCTGGCATATCTTCTGGCATTCTATCTGGCATACCTTCTGGCATTCTATCTGGCATACCTTCTGGCATATTATCTGGCATATCTTCTGGCATTCTATCTGGCAAACATTCTGGCACTTTATCTGGCATACCTTCTGGCATACCTTCTGGCATTCTATCTGGCATTCTATCTGGCATATCTTCTGGCATATCTTCTGGCATATCTTCTGGCATTCTACCTGGCACATCTTCTGGCATATGTTCTGGCATATCTTCTGGCATTCTATCTGGCATATCTTCTGGCATATTATCTGGCAAATCTTCTGGCATTCTATCTGGCAAACATTCTGGCACTTTATCTGGCATATCTTCTGGCATTCTATCTGACATTTTATCTGGCATTCTATCTGGCATACCTTCTGGCATTCTATCTGGCATATCTTCTGGCATTCTATCTGTCATATCTTCTGGCATTCTACCTGGCATATCTTATAGCTTTCTATCTGGCATATGTTCTGGCATTCTATCTGGCCGTTGAGGTCCAGCGGTGCACACTGAGCTGGGCAGGTCCCAGGTTGAGGTCCAGCGGTGCACATTGAGCTGGGAAGGTCCCAGGTTAGTGGTGCACACTGAGCTGGGAAGGCCCCAGGTTGAGCCGCACAGCTGGGAATCTTTCATTCCATCTCCGGTCAAGGCCATTCTTGGCCACTTTCCGGCCTTTGTGCTTTGCAGAGGAGTGAACTGTGGCGATGGGCGCAACAAGTACCACCAGCCTGTGGATGCCGAGTTGGGACCGGTTATTATTGATGTATGGAACAGACTGTGGCTCTCATTGCGAGGCAAAAAGATGCCAGCAGCGGAAGCGGATTTGTTCCAGGTGTACTTCAGAACTCCACAGGTCTGCCTCTCGACATTACACTGGCTCTCCGGAAACGCAGGGCTCTATGTTGACCCCAGGTCTGTGGATGGCCGCAATGCTGATCAATCTATGGCTGTGATCTGGCTTCCGGGAGCTACATTAGCAGAAGCACTGCACAGGCAGAAGACCACAGAGAGGACTTTGCCGGTCACCAGGTTCAGTAGCAAATATGGGGTGAGGGTGCTGATCAAAGATGAGCCACAGATTCGTGCGATGTGCAAAAGATCTATGAGATGCGGCCGCTTCCTCATGGGACCACTCGCAAAGGCCTCGCACAGGTTCTCTCTGAGCTGGGATGGGCGGCCAAACCAGTACAGCCTGGACGTTCGGATGCCAGTGGCATGAGCTGGAAAGTGGGAGCAGAGGCCCCACCACCAGCACCAATTATCCAGAATTTCATCGGTGACGGATGGAGACACCTTCATGCAGGTGGTGCCCAAGCTGGAATCGATTGAGGAGAAGCTCCGGGGCGAGATCTCTACAGTGGTTGCAGAGGCCACGGAGGGGAGGTTTGCCAAGATGGAGGTCGATCTGGCTGAGATGAGGAATCAGCAGTACAAGTTCGAAACTTGTTGCGATGAAGCGGGTCAAGCACAGCAACACATGCAATCGCAGCTTGGACAATTGGCTGCAACCGTCTCAGAGCACTCGGCAGAGTTGTCAGACATGGGGAAGGAAATCAAGTCGGGCTTTCAGAACAACTTGGTGAAGAGAAGTCGGACAGAATGACAAACCGACTCCGGGCCTCGAGTTGGTGGGCTCGAGGTGCCGGGCCATGTACAACAGCACCACACGTTCCAAAAAGTTTTGCGCAACAGCATGGAGCCGATGGTTATATAGCCCTTTGGCTCTATCTCTGCTGCATGTTCCTTCCAGTTTCAGCAGAGACAGGTGAAGCACATCAGGTGAACTCGGGATCAAAAGCTGCATGGCACGGCCCCAACGGGTCTTTCACCGGGGAGGATGAAGGTTTCCTCAGTGATGAAGCTCTCATGACCACAAGAGGTTTCTTCAACAAATGATGGCCATTGCCACAGCGGCAGATTTTGCGGAGCAGGCGATCCAAGAGATGGACACGGTCGACAACATCGCCATCCTTACCAATCACCCTGGTGATAGACACTGGCGCTTTTATAGACTTGATCCTCACGGCTTTGGACGACTACGTTCAATGGATCTTGAAGTCACTATACACAGATGACTCTATCTGATGTACAACGTCGAATCGAGGAGCACTAGCCGGATTTGGTTGGTGGCCTCCCAGGTTGGGAACTGATTGAAGCTTCCTCATCAAGGCCGACGCTGATTTTCAGGCGGCAAAGGAGAGCTGGTTGTTCTTCTTGAGACCCAAACATGGCTGATCAGGGATGCCTGGATTGCTCCTGATCTACAACCAATGATCATTGAGAGGCAGTGGCACCCACATGACCTACTTCGTCTGGTGGGATGGGAGGAGGAGTGCGAAAGAGTGCTTTGCCCAGTTACACGCAACGGCTTGGTCAGGCGACCGTATGAACTACTCAATGTAGGACATGGTGCTTATGTGATTCTGCACGTTGCCCCAGAACACGTCTGATTCAAACCGTTGCTGCTGACTTGACAACCTCGGAAGGCCACTTCATGGCTCTATTACCACTTCCAGACCCTCGCGATCTACCGGAAGCACCACTTCGAAGAGTTATGCAGCATATGGGGCCTTTGCTGGGACTCTCTACCAAAAGTACAGGTCAACGTCATCAACTTCCAGATCGCGCTCACAGACGCATATCGTTATCTCTTCTGGCACTCAGGACTCCGGTATATATGGAAGTCGAACCTTGCTATTTTCCATGCCTCAGAGCCACCAGGGAGATCTCTGACCTTCACCAGAGTCAGAGTACAACTGACAACTACCCATGAACGTTCCTGAGGTCTACTCAGATTTGATGGAGTACGAGCTCATTCCAGAGAGAGACTGGGCTTTGGTGCTCATGAGCCATCACATCAAGGACCTCTGGCTTCCCTGAACCTAGTATATACTTTTTGAAGTACACTTTGAATGCCCCGATGGAAGCTTCAGAGATGTGGCTGAACACCGCTCATTGATGACGAGGGAAGCCACTTCATGGTTTGAAATCGTGCACATGCTGGACCTTTTGGAGGCGCGCATTGAAAATCAAGAGTGTGTTATTCTGGTGGAAGATCAATTCGTTAGACCAGACGTGGAAGAAGTGTATCTCTTTGATGGGTCAGTCGTCAGGATCTGGATCGGAAGCTATTTTGATCCGGATAGCCCAGCCAATGAGTCTGACACTGGGCTACAAGTCAAGGAGACTGAGTTTCACGTTATGGAGGAAGGCAACACGCAGGGGAAGACGAGCGAGAGTCGCACAGCAGCCTCGCTTCCTTTTGCTCCAGCCTCAAGTGGCGTGCAAATGATGGTGCTCCTCGCTTTGATTTGGTGCGGAATCCGCAAACAAAGATGCAGGAAGGCCAGCTTTGCTTTTAAGGTGCAAGGAGTGAGAAGGAAAAGACAGTGGCGTGGCTTGCGGCTGCAAAACTGTCATCGGAAAGCAGGACTCTTCTTGTGCCTGCTCTTTAGTCAATCTGTGCTCGCTGAAGCTCACGAACATAGTCCGCAGAGAAAAACACACAGGTATGGTGAGGCACTCCACCCGGGACCCTCGTGCTTTTTAGGGACATCAAATCCAGTTGGAATCAGAGGCAAGGAGATGGTGGATGGGCAACTTCCTTTTGGTATTTGGGGCATTGCTGAGACTCACCTAGCACTGCCAGGGCTACGCACTGTAAAAAATGCCTTCCAACGAGCAGGAGCTGAATATCACAGGAAGCTCTCAGCACTACCGGGTGCAATGGTTTCGCTTAGGAGTCGTTCTGAAACTGCGGGAACCTGGGCAGGCGTAATGACAGTTGCTGACCTGATTTTACGACCCGTACACATCAACTGGCCGCACAATGAATACCTGGGAGGGAGGGCGCAGATCACTCAGTGTTGGATGGGGCCATTCTTGGTTATGGGGGCAATGATCTATGGGTGGCCCTCGTGTCCAACCTACCCCAAAGCGCTGGAAGACACCAACAAGATGCTTGAGACGGTGGTCAAGATGCTTGAGACGGTGGTCAAAGAATTGGTCATCTCCAGAACTGGGCCCAGATACCTGATGGGAGACTTTAATCATGCTGCCTCCAAGATGCCCATCGTCGATCTTCTCAAGTCTTATCGCTGGATGGAGATACAAGACCTCGGGTTTCAGAGAGGTATATGGGAACCAATGCCAACGTGCAGAGGTGCAACAACAATTGACTTCGTCTTCGTTTCACCCGAGATGATTCCGTTTTACTGGAAAACATGTTCCTGGCCATGGTTCGCTGACCATGTCATCTTGGGGGCAGAGTTTGAGTTTCCAGTACAACCTGAACCCCAGCAGAGCTGGCCTCAACCACCCCGCATTCCATGGCATGAAGTACCGTGGGACGCATGGGGAGCCCAACAGCAAGAAGTACTTCCGGTCGAGACCGTGAACATGGATGAAGCGTACTCATTGATTTGCCACAAGTACGAGGAAAGCTTCAACGGCTATATCAACACTCCAGATGGTTTGCTGCCATCAGGGTGCAAAGGCAGAGGCCAACGTTCTACGCCCACGAGAGAGAACAATCGCTGCCACTGCTCCGTCCCTCCAGACCAGGGGAAGTGTGCCAATCCTCGGAGTTGCTTGGTCGTACCCCGCAAAGATGGTTCCTCCAGCTTCGTCGATTGCAAAGCCTCCTGCATGGACTACGTGCAGGGAGCGAAACCGCCAATGCCCAGCTGTATCGTGCTGAACTCTGGGGGGCCATTCTCAGAGGAAAGGGATTTCGAGGTGGCTTTTCTAACTGGTGGAAGATCAGACCAGTACATCTACAAGGGAGCCCACTGGAACTCCCGTTGAGTGTGCCAACTCTGCCAGTGGCAGTGAGCCTTTTCAGAGACTTCGATCGAACTTCAGGAAGCTTGAATCATGGCATCAGCGACATCGGCATGAGCTGCTGAATGCATATTTTCAGGAATATCAGGACAAGGTTTTTGGGATGATGAAACCAGAAGGCAAAGCACCACTGCAACACTTGGAATATGTCAAAACCACCACAATTCTGGCGATGTCGGAAGACCAACAGATGATACACACGGCAGAGGAGCTACATGTCAGGCCAGGAGACACATGTGACATTGATGGAGTTTCCGTAGAAGTTCGACATGTAGATGGACCAGTGCTTCAACTATCACACTATTTTCTCTTCAAGGATCCCTCTACCTTCACGGCCAGATCACACTTTGCCACACCAAATGCCATTATTGGTAAGTTGGAAGAATTCTGGAGAGGACAATGGTGGAGACAGCCACTTCCTTCACATTCAGATTGGGAGAGGATGTTTGCTTTTGCAAAGCAATACCTACCGAGGAAGGTCATGCAACGTTCCCCGATCTCACGCGATCGTTGGACAGAAGTGAAAAAGCGCTATGAACCACGATCAGCCCGAGGTCCTGATAGCATGGATCGTCGCGACCTTCAATGGCTTCTTCCTGGGCTACAAGATTCATTGGTCAACTTGTTGAATCACTGTGAACTTGGAACAATGGCCGACAGCGCTACTACCTGGTTTCGTTTATCCGTTGCCGAAGAGACTTGATGGAAACTCATCTTGAAGGGCTGGTGGATCATCACCAGTTTGGATTCCTACCCGGTCGAGAAGCTGTTCAAGTTTGGTTCACCATTCAGGCCTACCTGGAAGTTAGCATCATTTCAGGAAATGAAAAGCGTGGATGGGCCACGGACATTCAGAAAGCCTGTGAGAACATCCCCAGGGAACCCATCAGATGGCTTTCCAAGAAACTGGGCATTACACCGCGCATTGTGAACTTCTGGCACGACTTTCTCAACAACACAGTCAGGTACTTCGTACTCAATGGACTAGTTGGTGAACCTTTGCTCAGCAACAGTGGATATCCAGAGGGATGTGCCATGTCATGCTTTGCTATGGGCTTGGCGGACTTGGTCTTCCACTTGTACCTCACGGCCTGCTCCCAGAGGGTCACACCGGTCTCCTACGTGGATAACTTTGAGCTGATCGCCAACACTATGGAGCACCTTCAGCATGGAATCCTATGCACTGAGGAATGGAGCGACATGTGGAGGATGAAATTGGACAGGTCCAAGAGGCCGGAAGCTCAATGAGAGCGCAGTGGACTTGGGAGCCCACATGGTCTATGGGAAGAGGAACTACATCTCAGGGGCTCTCGAACGTTTGAACAGCGTGAAGCCGTTATGGGACCTTCTTCGGCGCCTTCCTGCCGCCGAGTGGAAGAAACTCCAAATCATGCAGCAATGTATCTGGGCTAAGGCCTTCTATGGCTGCTCCAATTGCTGGGAAAGTCGCACATATTCAAGAGCTTCGCACCGCAACTGTCAAGAGCCTGAGACGGAACAGAGCAGGGGCAAATCCTGTACTTGCCCATGGCCAGTGACCCCGGTTTCTACCAGCTTTGGACTGCGCTTTCCACCTTCAGGCGCGTGATCCGCAAGCAGCCCCATCTGGTTGACATGTGGAGTTTTTTATGAATCGCTTCACAGGAGACCGAAGCATTGGGCCTTTTTGGAAGCTACTTGAGGTTGCGGAACAAGTGGGCTGGTGCGTTGAAGTACCAGGCTTCTACGACCATGATGGATGCTGGATTTCGCTCCTGGACACCACAGAGGGGATCCTTCGAGGAGTTGCTGAGGAGGCCTGGAGTCAATTCGTTGCCAAGGAAATCAGCAAACGCAAAGACTTCGAGGACCTCCGGGGCATTGATCTTGCTGTCTTTAGACAATCTCAGAGGAGACTTGACGGGAAGACGAGGGCATTCTTACAGCCCATCCAAGACGGATCCTTCTTGGATTCAAAAGCACAGAGCAAATTCGATATGATTTGGAGTGACAGCGCCTACGCTACATCGGGACTACTCCGACTTCTTCAAGGTGGAGAAGATATTCCAGATGACGCAGGTGAGGATCTTTGGACAGAAATTCAATGACTTGTACAGAATCGAGCAGGTGTGCTGCGGGTTCAACACATTGCAGCTCATATAGAGATGGGTGGAAAGAAGATGACCCCGTAGATGCATGGACTGCGGAGTGGAATGATCGTGCTGACAGAGAAGCAGGTGCGGCGCAATTTCTTCGAGGGAGAGACTTCCTGGAGAGCAGACAGAAACTGGTGGATGAGCATCACAAGATGTGTGGTATTCTGCAGCAGTTGCACAAGCTCCACATGGAGATTTTGAATTTTCGACTTCAAGCTGAAGTACCTGACGACGAGGCAGAGGGGGACCAAGATGCTGCCTTGAGGGTTTGGTGGCATGGTCGGCTACTACACGTGGATGCAAGCTGGCGAGGTCGCTTTGACCCAAACTGGCTTGCACATCTTCCAGGGCACTTTCGGGATGAAGTTCTCTAGAGCTATGCTTCAGTGGCTGCAGGAGCAGAACATGGAGGAGAATGGGAGAACTACCAGGTGGACATGGCTGGAGACTGCCGTCTACTGGTTTCGGAACTTTGCCGACAAGCTCCCACACCGACCACCGAGGGCTGCTGGGAAGATTCTCTGAGAGGGAGTAGGCATTGCCCAACTGTGGCAGCGACCGTGCATTTGGTGCGACGCTTTTTCCACCATTTGGATGCCTTCTTGGGCTGTGAAGTGAATGTTGCAACGGACAGTCGTTGCTTCCCCTTGCCGTGCACCCGCCACAGGGGGGTGTTCACCTGAGACTGGCACCTTTGGTTTTAGCGGAGACTCACGATATTCTTCGCAATTTTTTGGCACACCGCCCAATACGGGTGGTGAATGACCTTTCACGGCCGCTACGGTAGGGCAGTAAGGTGGCTTCGGCTGCCACTGCGTTGCCGTGGCACTGAACCCAACAAGCTGTCCGCACGTGTTTTTTCTTTGCTTTTTTACATTTTTTTTTTGGTGTAAAACCCTACAGTACATCTTTTGTGCTGTTGGACTCGTAAATCAAGGCCTCCAAAATGCACAAAGAATGTTGAGAAAACCACGACCAGGCCCCCCAATAATTCGATTTTTTTTTGGATTCGATCACATCCAAGCGAGACGACCCACCACTTGAGTGTCCGACCGGGAAATTCTTGTTGATGTTGGCAAGCCTCAGAAAACTGCGCATCGTCGGTTGTGGTGCACCAGGGCCCGAACTTGAAGACTTTATTGCAAACATCTTCCAGTCTACAATTACTTAATGTGGAAAGATAAAGCAAAACCAATAACCAACGTTAACTAACCCAGGCCTTCAAGGTTTATAAAGCCACCTATGTGGTAAAGTTTGTTTACAACACGAACTGGTCAGGACTGCCCTGAACAGCCTGAGCAGCCGGCTGATTGGCATGTTGGATGTCGTGTCGAAAGCCCTCGGGCATCAAAAACACCTCATGCAGCTTGGAATGTCACAGCTGGGATGGTCATCCGGACCAGATTGAAAATTGAAAATTGAAACCATGAAATCGACGTCTCTACAAAAGTAGGGTCAAGTTCAAAAAAAACACTACAAAAGAATGTCCCAGTCTACAAAAGTTTTGTGGGGATCACATGATCTTGGCTTTTGTAAGGGAAATGGTATCCCTGATCTTATTACCCTATTTTTACCCTATTCTATCCCATTATGATACCTCCATCATTCACTGCTTCAGTTACCACCAACCACTTCCCCTCGAGAACTGGGCCGCCCAACCAGCATCCGAAGAGTCTTGATGCGCCTATTGATGATGACCTAGCTGCAGGTGGTCCCATAGGTTTGGTGGGAAAATTGTCACATTTGACCCGCGAAGAGCTTTGGTTTTCCTGTACATGTTTGTTTCATTCAACGAATCCATTGAAACATTGTATAAGTTTGCCGCCCTTGAGTCCCCTGAGTATGACAATGTATCAAAAATAGATTCATACTGGGATTCTAATGCCACACATGCTAAGCTCATGGGCACCTGGTTCAACTGCACAACAAAGGTTGGATGGAATGAAAGTCTTCCTGATGTATCAAGCATAGTTTGCCATTTTCGTATCCCTTCCCTCAAACAATACACATCAATAGACAACTCCCCAACCCTTAAGCCTTAAACCTTGGTGGAATGCGGGTGGATCTAACACTGCTGATCTTCGATACCCTTCGTCAATTCCTAAACTCTACGAACCATCTAATGCCAATGGATCAATAAACCCCTAGGCTCTTTTTTTCATTGGAGGGGTGCCTTTTTTTCATCATATGATGAAATTATTCATAATTATCACAGAAAAAAATCCCGGGTACCCATGGCATCATGGGTAATGTTCATAAACCATCTGCTTTAGCATCAGTTGACCTTCCCCCCTCTGGACCTGAATGGCCACCATGGCCGCCTCACCCCGTTGCGGCATCGTCAGCCACTTCACCGTGGGGTTCTCCGCTTGGAGCTCCGAACTGGGGCGACCCCTTTAGGTCAGACACCCACGGTCTGAAGGAGAGATGCATCGTTATGCCGCTATGCCATATAGAGTTAATTACTTGGGTATATGCAGAATATATGTATATAGATATATCATATATCTTTTATAGTCTATATATAATTACATAATGGAATGTATAAACCAACTTATACGTGGTGGGCACCACCTTGTATGTAAAAAATAAGAGTGCTTATTACATCATAACAACAAAGAGGGAATGAAAAAAAATAAGAATGATTATGGAAACAATAACCGTAACATTAGCAACATTAAGATGGTTTGGGTTTTATAGCCAACAAATTATATGGTATGATATGGTTTGTGTAATATGTACCTGGGAACTTTAGCTGTATAAATTCACCAAATTTGATATTTAGAGGGAAATGATGGCAACGAATTAACACATGTTGGGCTTCAAGCTTGAGACAACCCCACCACTGCATCACCTTTTGGTTGTGCGCCCTGGCCTATAAATACCGTGCAAAAGTGCTGTCTTTGGAGCACAGTTAAGCAACATTGGAACGAACTGAGGGGCTTTAAACCTCAACAACAGAGGTTTGTCCATCTAAAGTCCAAAGGTGCGAAGCCTCAAGTGCCCAAAATGGGGCATCCATTGTTGGACACGCCCAGTTCTTGTAACGAAAGGTTAACAACTAATAGGGACTTCAATATTGGACGTCCCAGCCACAAGTCCACTTAGGACCAGGACGGCATGTTTGGTGTTGGACCCCCGACGGTAACCTTCACTATCCGCTGACATCATGTGGGATGCATCAAATTTCACATCCCCGGGCCCTACTGGAACCCGCCAAAAATTGGCCGATAATACCACGATAAACCCATGGTCTCCGATAGTGCCTGACCCCCAGAAGGATAGAAAAGTAAGTTGCCACTGTCTATCTTTTTGGGGGGTTGCCGTAAACCCAGCTAAACCAACCCTGTCTGGTGCATTCAATGTGAAAACGCCATCGCAGGGGCAGGTTGGAAGTCAAGGCGCAAGGGCAGCGAAGGAATCTCCAAATGCGCGTCGACCACCGTGAAGGACTGCGGAAATCAAGGTGCTGGGGCGGTTGTGGGGTCCATCATGAGTCCCTTCAATCATGAATATGAAAATGTTTGCCGAAAATGTATGACATGTCCACTAAATCACGTGCTTTAGCACTGGATCTATTCGTTTGGGGGACAATTTAATATATGTCACAGAAATTAGCCGCTAGTCACCCTGAAAAGTTGCTATTGTTGGGCTTCATATGAGCCATTTGGTGAGACTCGCGTCGTCTTTCAGGTCAGAAACCAACCTCAACTAGCCCTTTTTGTATCTCCTTTGCCCTACCCAACCAAGCTGTTCCCACTAAGCCTCAAGGCATGGCCTCAAAACCTGCTTTCCAAATGTCTTTCTGCCAGGGAAACCTATCAGATTGTCACCAGTTGGGATGTCCCACCTGCAGGTCGGGAAAAGAAACCAGAGGAAGCCCCAAAAAATCTGCTACTTTAAAAGTTTCCATTTTTCCCATCCCTAAAAATGCCATAGACTGGGGGGTCGGGGGCAGAACCTCTCCCTCTCCAGACCGGACTCTGTCCTGATCCAGGACTCGCAGTTCCCAAGGCTGCAGCGTCAGCAATGCCTCTGGCGTCACGATGATTAACCTGGCGGCAGGGCGGCAGAAAACCGCTCTTCGCCCTACGGACTGGAAATGAGTTTCAAAAATGATTCTCTATTTTCCATCCCATCATTTCTAATCCTAACTGACTCTCTCTAGTACGTTCTTTTATTTTCTTGAGCTTGGCAAAAAAGTTGGAACCATCTTTGAGTGTCTTTCAGTCACCTTCACCAGCAGGAAATTTCGCACGGACCTTGATCTTTTATGACCCTGTCAACAAAACAGAACTAAACCAAATGAGGGAGAAAAACGTGTCCTTTACGAGCTATGGATTTAGATGGCTGTGGGTTCTTTCCACGCTGGCCGTCGGCTGAAGATCTCAAAATATTGCGCATATCAAATAAAACCAGTTCATGTGCATTTTTCTTGGAAATCAACCGCGTTGTGTATGTGATGTGAAGAACATTGAAGAAAACAGAAGGCTCTGAGGTGACCTTTCTCACCCACATATGTCGTGTGGAGATCCGAATTACATCTATATTATGTATATATTATATCATATATGTATATAAATGTGTATATATATATATATGTGTGTGTATGTATATAATAATATATATATGTATGTATGTATATATACATGCACCATGCGTGTATGTATGTGTGTGTGTGTGCGTGGGTGCTCAACTCCCCGCAAATATACCACTGGATTCTGCGGCAGCCCAGCGACATCGCGGAGTAAACTAGATCTTGCCCCTCCGCAATGAAGGTGCCCATGGTCAAGTTCAACTGGGCAGGTACAACTTGGATCATCCAGGGATGGTGGCCCAATAGTTGCTTGCTTATTCATCGGCTCATGTCCTTCCATATGTCCTAAATGTCCGAAATCTTCCCCAACATTCCCCAAGTATTGGCAATCAACAGCTACAGGAGGACTTGTTGATCTTGTTTTGGTGATGTGAAAGAAACCCCAAACAGGACATTTATCCAAGCCCTCTGGTGATCATCCCCCAGACTCAGCACATGCTGACTTGAGCATGTGACTGTCTAAAGCTTGAAATGACGGAGAAAACATCAAACATCATCTATATCCTCATGGAAGTACTGTTCTATTTTTTGGGGGGACCTCCGTACTCTACACACACACACATACATATATATATATCATATATAGTATAGTCATCCTGGAGTGGATAGAATCCTGGGATGTTCATATTTATTTACCCCCGAGTAAACTACCATTGATTGTTGATTTAGCCATAAAAAAATTGTGATTTTCCATAGTCATGTTAGTTTACCAGGGGGTAAATCCCTATCAAATCCCAATTCATCACCATTAATCCCTATCAAAACCCATGAAATCCCTGTTAATCCCTATGCTATGTATCACTAGTTTTTCTTCGACTCTAACCACAGCCGAGGCGCCGTCCGCGCGATGGGCAGGGCCAGGAGTTCATCCGGAAAGTGCTCCTCAATCCTGGAAAGATCCACTGGATCCACAGTGGATGATCCAACGGTCGTAATGAAGAAGTGTAGAATATAATGGTAATAATAATAATAATATAGTAATTATAATAAGTGGATAATCATGGTAATATATCTATGATCATCCATGATTATCTATTATTATTATGATATATATATATATACATACCCTCTGGTTATGACTAGCAGTTTGCCATGGAAAGATCCACCATTTTTAAATTCGGTAAACCCAGGTAAACCATCTATAAATGGGCCATTTTCCATGGCTATGTTAAATAACCAGAGGGTATATATATATCATAGAAATAATAATGATAGATAATAGATAATAGATAATCATGGGTGATAATAGATAAACATGGATAATTAATGGATAACCATGGATAATAATGGATGATTCACTATTATATATGGATCATTATATATTTAATAATTTGGTCCACTACGATCATTAATAGTTGATATTTCATGGAGAAAAAAAGATAATAATGGATAACAATGGATAATAACGGATCATAATTAATGAAGAATAATGGATAATAATGGGTAATAATGGAGAGTAATAGATAATATTTATTCATCCAACTTGGTAATGAGATGTCGTAAAATCCAACTGCTATGTCCATCTATATCCCAATTCATGGGATGTTTGTTGTTTAATTGTTCATACGTGGATGGCATTGGATCATTAGATCATGGGAATAATTGGGTTAATGGATTATACATATATATATATATATCATGGTTCTAACTGGATCCCAATCACAAAATATCAACCGCGAGAATTGGATCCCATCCACGATTTCTGGTTTATAATTGGGCATCCCCCAATCATGGGGGTGCTAGCATCCACTAGCATCCACTAGCATCCACTAGAATCCACTAGGCATCAAATGGTTCATACTTGGATATTCGTGTTCATCATTGTGGATCGCACCTGCAAGAAACCTTGGTAGGAAGTGAATGATCCTCCAGAGGACTAGCCTGGGAGGATGTCATGGATGCCAACTTTGGGATTTTACTCGGGATCATCGCAGAGTGTTGCTCGGGGTCCGCGTCCCCGCACCCAAGTGGCGAACAGAAGATTGACCCAAGCGGGGATTCAACGACCGAAAGTGCATCCAATGATCATCCCCAAAACCACAAGTCCAGTCACCAAGTCACCAGAATCACCCTATATGGATGTTCATCCCTAAACTCATGGGATCTACAGCTTGAACCAACCGAAAACCCCGTTTCCGCCAGGGCACTGATAGGGCTCGCATGCCTGACCTGCCTCGAGAGAATTTGCCATGGGTTTAACAAACCACAAATGGGTGATTTGATGGGATATTAGTGGAGATAGTGATGATGATGGTGATGATGATGATGATGATGATGATGATATGTATATATATATATAAATATAAATATAAATATAAATATTATATATATATATATGTTTATATCTATATATAGATGAGTGATGTGTGTATATGCCAAAAAAACATATGATTTACTATCATTTGGTCTCCATGGTCTCCACCGAAGCTGACGGTTTAGCCGAGACAAACCATAAATCGTCAGGTATCATTAGGTAGTTTATGCCAGAAAAAAAGGATTAAAAATGTCCGGTGATGTCCGGTGATGTCCGGTGTGTTTTCCCAAATACCGAGTCTTGTGTCGGTTTTCAAGAGGTTTCCCGGTCTCAATCCATCTGCAGTGGCTGCGCCTCCTTGATGTCTGGGCAGCGAAGCTCGAAACTCTCGGGCGCCGAGAACAGGGCGAAGCGGCCCTTGGCCAAGGCTGGGACCTTCATTGAAGCTCGGCGCCGTCGGAACACATATGTAATGAACATGGAATTCAGTTGGAAAGCTTCTCGTTTGCCAGATGTGTGCCATGGTTTTTGGGTTTGTTAGATCATGTTGGATGTAATCATATTTGTTCATAATTTCATAATTATTTATTGATTCTGCTGGAAACTTCAAGTGTTTTTTTGTGTTCATGAGGTCTCCAAAGGTCACTTGAAACCTCGGCAGCTTCACCCCACCTTGAAAGTCAGGGCAAGCCATCCAGTGTAGCTTGGGATGGCGCCATACCTGGCAGTCACCGCGCATGGCGCCACGCCAAAGCCATCCACGAAGCTCCAGCCCACGATGCGGTCACTGATTTCCCCGGTAATTTCCTTAGGCCCCAAGGGGAGCCCAAATCTTTGACGGGGGGCAGAGAAAGGGCAAAGATTCGCATTCCAACCGTGTGGACGGCGGAAACGCACGTTCTAAGTTCTAAGTTCTATATTTTGAATGACTTATAAGCGCGGCCGAAAATCGGCTGCACATCTGCTTTCGAAGATGAATATAAAATCCTCAACTTCGTGTCAATTTTTTTTGAAGTTGAAATGCGGTGACTCTGTTAGGAGGAAATGGGAAAATGGCTAGATGGCGCTGTTGTTTCAAAGTGGCTGGTGCCTTAAAGTGGTTTGCATCTTCATTTTGCAATTCTGGGGCTCCGCTTTTGGGTCATGTGTCACATCTTGTTCATCTGAGAGGCTCGGGATGAGAAGCAACAGCTACTCGCTACTCAGATCTATGCAAAGAAAACGTACACAATCTGCGCCGTACCTGATCACAAACATCCATTTTATCGTCAGAGAAATGAAAAACTGCGTTGCCTTCCACCCTTGGACCTACACGGCCTACAGCTTTGCCGAGCATCATCCACTTGCAGATTTCGAGCCAGCACGAACCAGCGTGGGTCCAGATTGGTGCGCCGTGGGGTATGCCTCTGCTGGTGCAAGTCGGAACACATGAGGTTGACAAGTGGTAGAAGGGTAAACTCACCTAGGGCCCCATTGCAACACATTGTGCTGCCCAGTCTTTCTGCTCATGAGACCTTGGGTTTTCAGGCTTTCAATATTATGATTGTCTTGAAGACTTCAGCCCGAGATGCCTATTTCTGCACTTGTTCCCTCCCAGCACCAAAGTGGTTGCTCGAAAATACACTCTCTTGCAATAAACTGCTAGTAGCAGTAGCAATTGTTTGCACTTGCGCGGTTCTTGCATTTTGGTGCGGGGATGTGCACCGGCTTTGCGATTTTTTCCGCTCGTTTCACCAAAACATATTCATCTTTCTTTGTTGAATCGCTGTTGGGCTTCGGCCGAAAATAGAACTCAGACCCTCCCGATTCGTTACATCAAATTCCCGCTCGAAGTCAACATTTGCGCCCAAGACTCATTTTCTCACAGGCTGAAGAACAGTTTTTACTGCCATACTTCCACTACTCCTGAAGGCACAAATGAGTGTATTAAGGGAGTCCCCACGTTATTATTAGCTGGTTGGTGGTTTCAACCCCTCTGAAAAATATGATAGTCAGTTGGGATTATTCCCAATATATGGAAAAATAAAAAATGTTCCAAACCACCAACCAGTTAGTGATTATGGGTATGTTTCCAAGCGGAATTCCAGACATGTGCGCCAGCGGAGGCCCTGAAATGGACAGGCCACTTCACGCTGCGCATCCCAGGACTTGAAAAATCATCCACTTTCTTAGGTGAAAGGGGTTGATTTTTCAAATCCTGAGGATATATACATATATATATATATATATGTGATCCCGTCTTCCGACCGCGAGGTCCCCCCCCCAATGGTATGGGTCCCCAGGTAGCACCCCCCTGCCCTTCTACTTGCAAGCTATTGGCAGCATTTCTGAGGTCCAGCCTCGTATTTGCTAGGTTTTTGCAGCGATTCTGACTACAAGCCTCGCATTTACTAGGTACATGCTACCTTTTAGACGACTTACGTAGCACACATACTCCCTCAAAGTACCTATGTGCCACCTATAGTCATATATACATGTGCTATGTATCTACTTCCTATATACATAATATATATGTATATGCGTGTGTGTGTTTACATGTTATAGATACATATATACATATATATATATATATGTATACACATATTTGTACTTAAATACATATATATATACATATATGCATATATTCACATATATTCACATATATTCACACACATATATATATATATATATATATATATGCACATACATATATATATATACATACATACATATAAGCATATATATATATATACATACGCAGTACCACACCCCCACCACACCACAGGGGGGGGCGGGGAACATCGCTCCTGTATATCCATACCCCTTCCTACTACGAACATCTACTAACTACTACTATCCCCCACAACCCCCCTACCCACCCACAGGGGGAGGCGGGGAACATAGCTCCTGTATACCCATACCCATTCCTACTACTAACTACTACTCACTACTACGGGACGCGGGTCACATTCGCCCCTGAAAGAGGGTCACATTCCCCTCTGAACCAAAAGGGGTCACATTCGCCCCTGAACCACAATACTTTCAATGTGGTACTCAACGCTTTAGGGTTAAACCTGGGGACAAGGGGGCATTTAGGGGAACTGGGGAACCTTTAGGGGGGACTTGGGGGCATATGGTAACTTGCCTCTCTATTCAATATGTTGCTCGACCCTTTAGGGTTAAACCTGGGGACAAGGGGACATTTAGGGGGACTGGGGAACCTTTAGGGGGGACTTGGGGGCATATGGTAACTTGCCTCTCTATTCAATATGTTACTCAACCCTTTAGGGTTTAACCTGGGGACAAGGGGACATCGTAAGTTGCTCGAAATGGATGTTACAACGTAGCATCCATAGCGTGCCGCTAGTTGATTGAAATGGCTGTTGGAAAGTAGCATCCAAAGCGTCTTCGAAGTTGCTCGAAATGGATGTTACAACGTAGCAATGGTACACCATAGCATCCATAGTGTCCTGGAAGTTGATTGAAATGGCTGTTGGAACGTCGCATAACACGTGAATATGACTCTCTAGGGTGGAAAAAAATCCTTTTGAGGCTCTGAAACTATTGCGCCTGCCACGCAAAAGCACGGGTCACATTCGCCCCTGAACGAGGGTCACATTCGCCCCTGAACCCACTTCATCCCACTTCATTCAGGGGCAAATGCGACCCAACATGGTTCAGGGGCAAATGCGACCCCCGTGCCCACTACTACTAACTACTACTAATCCCCCCCACCCGCCTACCCACCCACACGGGGGGGCGGGGAACATAGCTCCCGTATATCCATACCCATTCCGACGACTAACTACTACTCACTACGACTAACAACAACAACTACTACTACTACTACTACTACCACTACCACTACCACTACCACTACCACTACCACTACCCCCCCTGCCCACCCACAGGGGGGGGCGGGGAACATAGCTCCTGTATACCCATACCCATTGGGGAGAGGGGGGGGACCTGGGAGGGCTGCATCATACACATATATATATATATATATATATATGTATATATACACACATAGATATATATATATATAGTATATATATAGTATGTGTATATATATATATAAATAATATATATATAGTATATATATATAACCATCCAAAAATGCGGGGGTGATACCAGCCGATATAATCACCCAAAAGCAATACCAGCGGGCTGGTTCTGATTATTGACGTTGATCGAAAATGATAAAAACCACCACCAGCCCCCAGTCCCATGCAGCCCCAGCCCCAGCCCCAGCAGCTGCCAAGGTTCATTCGCAGCTGGTATGTCATCTCATCTATCAGGGGGTTAGCCACGATCATGTCCAACTCCAGCATAGGGCGACCGGTGCCTTCCCTTGGATGGGAGCTGTGACGCCTGGGGGTCCATTTCCGGGCACATCTGAGGTACCTAAATTGGAGGTGCCCAGGAACTCCTCAACTAAGACATCAACATGGAGCATCCACCAACAAGTTAAAAACGAAACCACCCTGAGAGCAGACCCTTGTAGAAATCACCAAAATACCTAGTAGTGGTTGGCTCTCAGCCCAAAATTCACTGCCGGGTTGCGGAATCTGGGCACCATAGGGAAGGAATCCATAAGGAGGCAGCAGGAGCAACCTGCAGCCCGTCACAACTGTTGATGTCTATGGAAACAACTTTGTTTGGGACGTTTGGATCTACATATTGTGTTGTCAGCATTGACCTTACTGCCCGTCAGAAAATCTATGGTGACAGCCGGAGGGGAGACCGGCGGATAGACTTGACTACTTACGAAAAAGATGCACCTGACCTGATTGATTATATTTTCTTATGCAATACTTATCTATCTATCTATCTATCGATCGATCGATCCATCCATCCATCCATCTATCTATCCATCTATCTATCTATCTGTTGCTTTGCCTAGTTGCTTATATATTGCACACATCTTCAAAATTCTATAAATCATTCTTGTTCTCATGATCATTACTGTTTATTCATGTTATTCTATATGGTGATAGCTTATGAATCACTGGCTTAGGATGGTTTCAAGTGGCCGTGGCCCTTTCTTCCAGGGCCAAACCACGGATGTCCACGCGCGTGCCGCCTCGAAAAAGGCCATTGTCCTTGAGCCGCCCTGACGCTGATGCTCACCGTCGTGGCCTGAAATGTGTTACCCTCTGGTAATGGCTGTTACAGGTTGCTATTGAACATGGCCCAGTCGAAATAGTGGATTTACCCATTGATTTACCCAGCTAGAAAATGGTGGATTTCTCCCATAGTTATGTTAGCCCGTTGACCAGAAGGTAAGCGTAGCAAAAATGAAGCCAGTGGGACAGTGGGCATGCTTTTCCTCAACATGGCTTCTGGAGGTCTTGATTTTTCACACAGATGCGCACCAAATGAGATCAAATGAGATCAGCCTGTGCAAGGTCAACCTCCCTGGAACCCCTTGGCCAAGTGGCTGAAACGGGAGGACTCCTGGAAACCTCGGCTGCCCCAGGGCCTTGGGGTTTATCGAAACGAAGATCTGTGGTGAACTTTGGGCTAATCGGCTAATCTTCCCCACTTCCTGAAGGGATTCAAACAGAAAACCTGGGGATGCCCAAAAATATAACACGTCCTTTGTTGGATTCCATCTGAATTTAGTGTTTTCTTCTTCTTTCCATGCCAGACACGATCGAATACGATTGAGTCGAGTCGTCGGCACGCAAAGAAGTGGGAAGGGTTTCAGAAAGCTTGGTCGGTGAGTAACGAAAATCAAAAGTAGTGAGAAAAGACGCTAAGAATTTTGCGAGTGTAGAACCTCATTCTCCCAGCTCAAGCAAGCATATATAAATTGATGTGAAACCCACCGTTTTCGGACAAACCCATCTGCCTCTCTATACCCATCATTCTCCCATCACAATCCCATTGTCATTATATCCCCATTGCGATTGTTTTTATCTCCCCATTTTACTGCTGTAACTCCCCCCCTGTTTTTGGTGGCCCTTTTGCAAAACGCGGAGCCTCAGGTGTGACTGTCAGCGACATCTGTGGCACCGCAGTAGGCGCACTGGTCTCTCCATCGTTGGTGTTGGTCAAATACCTCGGCTCAGTGGGGGGAATGTCACCTGAGAATGAGCCAAAACCCCTCAGTTTCTTAATTTCAAGGGGCTCCCCAAAAGTGACATCATTCCAATGAAATACATGGTCGTACACTTATATGTAATGGTAATGTTGGGGAGGTTAATGATGATCATGGGCTGACATCACAAGCACTCCATCATTCCATAAATATACTTCGTATACAACAGGTCAAGGCGGGTTGCTGCCCGACCAAAAGGCTCGCCCCCGCCGGTTGTGCGACGTCCAACAGTCAATGTCTATTTGGGGGGGTCCTTAAATAGTGGAAAATCCTATCATATAAAATGGATGATTTGGGGGTACCACCATTTCACGAAACCCTCATAAACCCTCATTTCTCCAAAACTACATTTCTCACAGGAAAGACTGAAAATTCAGCAACGACTACCGAAAATGTCACAATTGAAAATGCAGCTAGAACCCGATGATTTCTTATGTTAATAAAATGAAGACGCGTAGTTTTCATTCTTCTCATCCATCCATCAAAATCCATCATCGTCCACCTGCTATCATCACCCATCACTATGCTCATAATTACGGTTATTGTCATGTTATATATTGTCTTTAATACTGTCGTTATAACTATCATCATTATTTCCATGGCCTTCATCATTGCCGTTACTATTATCATCCTTATGATCATCGATTGGTGTCATCATGACTGTCAACATTGTTTTCTTTTTGTCATTGATGTTTCTGTATTCTTATTGATTTCTATGATGATGGTTGTTTATCACCACCCCAGAGGACGGTCAAAAACTATCATCCCAATATTGTTGGATACTTTTTGGGGATTAACATCCATTTACCCTAGCTGCCCTAGCTATCTATTCGGCTTCACCAGGGGGAATCACCAACCTCCAGCCATCCCAGCCCCAGCTGCCCCGTTTCGTGCTCCGTGGCCACGTACCACTCCGTGGCCATCATCGTGGGCAGCACCCAGAAGCGCACGCGGTAGTCGCGGTTGGCCTCTAGAGCCATGGAACTAAGGCCGTCCGTCAGGTAGGCCAGCCTGGGACGGAGCCATGGAGGCTGGGAGCTTTAAATATGATAAGGTCCTAAGGTTGAGAGGAAAACTAAAATCTGTGTATATATATATATATTATGGGATATATATATACCTTAAGCTTCGACAACCTGGAAATTTCCAGGGTTTGTAAGAAAAACCTGGTTATTGGCATCATTTCACTGCAAAACCGGGTTCTTGACACGAAAACCTGGTTTTTGGGGAAAACCAGGTTGACCATCAAAATAAACATCAAAAATCACCTCCCTTAGCCACACCATGTGGATCCAAAGGGTTTTCCCAGATACTTTCGACGGCCTCATCCACAGGTGGCTCACTCTTGGCTGCAGTTGGGCAGCCGTGGTGTGTCTTTGGTGGTGTATCCCAGGGTTATATGGTAGACCTGCTATAGAGGTAATTCACAAATTATGGACACACCAGTCGGAATAATTTATTTGAAGAACATCGATTGCGAATATATATATATATATATATATTTATAGGCTGAGCCAAGTGGATTTCCCACAAACATAGCACATCAGGCATAGGCCCCAAAATATTGAGAAAATAAGTTATGTTTTTTTTTGATGTTTCTTGGCACCATGAGCAATGGACAGATATTCAAGATATTTTATGTACCAATCCAGTTTGTTGAAATGCTTCTCAAAGCTGTAGGGTATCGAGAACAAGAAAACATCAATCATGGCAAAAACAAACTTGCCAGTGGAATCTTTGATTTCCAACCTCTCTATCCGCGGTCTGACGCAATGGTTTTTCCTGAGTGGCACAATCAGTCCGGCGTCCCGGAACAAGTGAGTGCACTCACTGTTGTACTTCAGCTTGGTATAGATCCTCACGGCTGCACGAGTATACATGTCAGTTGGTCACACATGGTCTATGGAAATTCCACCGTAGCCATTTTGGAGTTCAAGAAGACATGGCCAGAACAAAAAAGCTGGCAACGGCCAAGGCGGCTCCGAATCCAGGGCCTACTGAGAAGCCTAAGGGACACTGCTCAATCAAAGGAGTTGCGCAGGAATGGGATGGGATCATAGAGTTGAGAGACAGAGTGAGGGAGGGTGGTCCAATTTTGGATCCTAGGAGCGTACACAAACAGCTCGACATCAACCAGTGTGTCATCAACCAGGCACTGCTGTCGCCACTGGCAGCTTGTATCTGTGTGGCTGAGAGGAAACTTCCAACCATAGATGATCTTCGGGATGAGCTAGTTTGTCTGCTCACGTTGAACAAGCGTCAAGGAGAAGATCTTGTAGTCATGGTTGAAGACACCGCCAAACATGTAAAAGGTTTGTGCACGTTTCTGAAGCTAAAAGTTAGACGCAAAGAAGTCAGCACAGCAACTTGGACTTAAGAAAGGTGAGGGGGTGCGGGGATGTGGCGGTAGGTGAATGTAGGTGACACGAATGTAACTCTTATTTCTTTGCAAAAAACACATGGTAAGCACTATATATTTTTTTAAAAACAACAATTATGTTTTTTACGCAGGGGTTGGAGTTTTAAAAAAATAAAAAATGATCTCGATGTGGAACCCATACCTTGTTAAAACATGTCATACATATGATATAAGTGAATCAAACGAGATCTGCTTGAATATAAATGCTGATATTTGCATGTCGATTGCACTGAGGTACCAGAGTTTCAGAACCTGTGCTTGTTGATGGATCCGATGCTCCAGGCTGGCTCTGCATTCCATCCAATGTTTCCAAGTTTTGGACACGAGCATGATTAGAAAAAATAAAAGGAAATAACACCGTCTCACTCAACGGCCCCAACTTCCCACCTGCAGGTGGAAGTGGACACTATTCTCTCGAAGAGAAAGGCCCAGGCCCACTTGGGATTGCAGTGCAATTAAACTGTACACTTGGATTAGTGGGTTTTGTTTCGGGATCTTTCCATTTCGAGATATATACCCATAAATATCCCATAAATGGTCTTATGCTTCTCTACACTCCTCATTTTAGGTTGTTTCGACAATTCTTAGGTTGTCACTTTCGACAACACATCAATTGATTTCAGTTGGTACATATGCAGGGGGTGGATGACGAGTCCGAAGATGAAGCATGCAATGCAGAAGAGGGTGAAGAAGAAGAACCCAGAGAGACAGACCCCATAGTTGCTCCACCAGACGTCCCCCCACCCAAAGAGAGCAAGAGACCTCCAGAAAAGGAAACACAGAAGACTTCCACAGCAGAGTCAGTTGGGGGGACCAGAGCAGAATCTTCAATAGATACAACAGCAGTGGATGGTACTCCGCGTCATGAAGAAGCCACTGTTCGGGAAGTGGAAGCAAAGGGCCCGAAAAGTTCCTTGCTAGCATGATCTCAACTCACATTTCTTGCTATATTCAGTGTAAAGCATCTTGATCTATAAACAAATTCAAACCGGTTGGTATGTTCAAGTCTTGTTTTGTTTGTCCCTCACCAACTTGCATCCATGCGCAAGTTTATAATCTTTTGTATTCTAAAGTACAAAGCCCGCATTTAAGGTATGCAAGACGATCTTCGACTTCGAAAGGCACAAATTGAGGAACAACTCAGGGTGTCTTCCTGCTGCACTATCGTTTCAAAGTGTTTGGTGAGTTTAGAAAATCTGTTGACGGAGTAAGACAAGGATGAAATGATTCGAAAACAAATTGGATATGAAGTAAGTATGGTTGAAGTTTTGCATGTTTTGCAAAGATTTCCTGTCTCGTTGTGGTTTACAACAAACACTGTAGCTGAGTAATATGGATCATTCATATGTCGCTCTGATTCCAAAAGCTCTATTCACTATTCAGGTTACGGGAGAAAAGGGCAGCTCAATCTGCTGCACACAGCATGAAGACGATGTCGCCTCCGACATCTGGCAGTGGAGGAGAATCCCACCACCAGTGCGTCGATCCACATACCATTGTATATCCATGCGTCCAGAAAACAACATATAATTAATTTTGCTTGAATCCATTTGATTTGTTTACATATATATCGATCTGTTACCATATTGTAAAATCAGGAAGACTATTGGTCATGCCATATCGCAGCCCCAAGACTTAATTTTCCTTTTAAGTTTCAGAGCCTATCTTGTATCTTCAGGAGACGCTGCCAGATGCGAGCCGGCTCGAGACAATCAGGAAACACAACCGTTGCAAGATATCACCAGTGCAAATACCCCACCGGATGTATCTACGGTCTTGTCACCAGAAGTGTCAGCAGAATCCAAACGTGCAAACTTTCAGAGATGCAGAAGAAAAACAAAACCAGAGTTGGCCGGCTGTCCTGAAGTTCCCAAGGCCGCCCAGGCAATTGCATCCGCTCCTGCAAGCAAGACTGAGGAGAGTGATGAGGCTTGGAAACAGCTGGGAGTGAACCTCATGTTTGACCATACGGTGTTTTACCAAAACATGCAAAAACACATCGAATACATCTATCGATCTCAATATATCTCGATCATTATATTTTTTGTAGTGGGCTGTTTCTCCATGTTCACATAAATTTCAATTAATGTTGCTTGTTCACACGCTAGGATACGGAAGAGCCGCCTTACGTCACAAGGCAAGATCAACTCGACATGAAGCCCGATAAAGCAGAGGGCCGGGGGCGAGGAAGAGGCAGGGGCAAAGGACCAGGGAGGGGCAGAGGTCCTAAGAAGGATGCGAAAGCAGACAATGGTACGAAAAGGAACGGTGATGGTGTTCATCAGGTTGCACAAGTTAAAGGGAAAAAACGAGCAGGCAGTGAAAAGAAAGGCCAGGACTACAACGAAGGTTGGTATGAACAAAGTTGGTATGATGAGTGGGGCCAACCAAACGAGGAGTGGGGCACAGAGGGTTGGGGAACATCGGCATACCATTTTGATGCCTATGCTTGGGCAGACGGCAAGACAGCATTGGCAGAGCTTCGAAAGGCTGAAAAGAAACGCAAACAACAGAAGGAGTCCAAAGGAAACAAGGATGACCATGAACAGGAGCACGAGGAACAGCAACATTCAAAGGCACCTGCAAAGGCAAAGCAGAGAAAACCATCAGAGCCATCCCATGAGAAAGCTGTTGAAAAGAAAGCCAAGACAGCGGCAAAAAGCAAACCCAAAAGAAAGGAGGCTGAAAACACAGAGGTAGCAGAGGGTTCTGCAAAGCCAGCTGCCAAGAGGAAGTCAAAGAAACGAAAGGCAGAGGTGGAAATTCCCCCAGATGTTCTGGGGAAAAAAATCCGAAAGATTCAGAAATTTGTGGCCCTCTACTGGGATGATGCAACCACACAAAAGGCAACCCAAGAGATCAAAGAGGACATGCATTCCAGGCTGAGGCATGACCAGATGACATCATGCCGTCTCAACGCCTACTGGACAACCTCGGCAGTTGGTTGCACATACCGGGCACTGAACAAGGACATAGCTCACTTTTACTTCCGTGACACTGGGCTTAGCTACATGACTCGGTTGGCTATGTCTTTGAAATGCGCCGAAATGTTTGCAACTTTGGTGCATGAAGTTGTACGAACAAACATGTAAATTTGACATATATATAAGTGTTGCTACACCAACATTTTTCTGCGAATGAATTCTCAAGACTTGAGTTGTGCAAATATGTTTTCACTTTCTGACTTTGTTCTATGTTTCTTGGTTTAGCGTCCATCTGAGGTACTCCAGTTGGATCAGGCCATTGACAATGGCGAAGTGGATGAGGAAGATGTGTCTAAAGATTTCACATATTGCGTCAATTTAGTGGATCAGCTCAAGAAAGCTGCTGAAGCTGCAGTTGAAAATTTATAGGTTTCACTGCTGCAAACCCCAAGCCTTTTTTGGCATGTCTCGAGGGTGTTAGTGTACAACTTCTTTGATGGATCGTTTAATGCTTAGGGGGTGCCACTGAAACCAAGTTGGCGCAGCATTGTTAGCTTCTGGACTAGGGGTTGTGAGCCATCAATGGGTCCACGTCAACAAATAAGCATCGGTCTATAGATCTTTGCAGGTAGCATAGAACCATCTGATTTGTATGAACCATGCATGCA